GCTGGAATCCACAGGAGGGGAGAGTCGCTCTTGTGTTCGAATCCTGATTGCTTTGGGGCATCCAGTTTGCCACTGTGAGAACAGGATGTGGGACTTAGACGAACCATTGCCCTGATCCAACAAGCTCTTCTTTATGTTTGTTTTTTATGCAATCTTTTCCCAACATGGACTTTTTATTTGGTTGGTGAATTGCTTCGGAAAATTCAGAAGATTGCAAATTCTGAAGGATAGGAATCCATAGTTTCTCACAGATGTCTGGTTTGGCCACTGGGACAACAGGATGTTGGTCCAGATTGTACCTCCCAACATTTTTGTCCCCAAAACCTGGACATCAGGAAGGGTGCGTCTTCCGGTCTCCCAGGACTGGATTCTGTGCTCCGGGATGTCCTGATTAAAACAGGACATTTGCAAGCTATGCTAGATTGATTGATCCAAACAGCTCTTCTTATGGTCTCATATTCTATTCCTTTGCACAGAAGATGGAATTTTGCAGGACCAACTTCCTCATTCCTGCAGGACTAGATGTGTTTGTAAAATAATAATAATAATAATAATAAATTATTGTGCACTGAGGTCTCTGGTTGTGTGGTGAGTTCCCGCTTCCCCCCAGGAGAAATAAAGACACAGGACACCAAGTATTAGGTTTAATGGGTGAAATAGGCCACAACTTTATTGATTACAGGAATGAGCGGTATTGGCTTAGGCATTGGTCCTATCGACTAGCCGGCTTCAGCCTGATTGCGTGAAGACCGGCAAGGGTTAACCACCAGTAGGGGGAGTCCTGCTGAGGCACGTCAACTAGGAGCTCCCCCGAGGTCACCGATAGGGGGCGTGCCTTAGGCCCACACCTCCATAGGCTTCGGACAGGGCAACGCCCCCCAGAGTCCTTTATCGGACTACCCTTTGCTTTGGGGGGAGGTGATGGCATTCCCTCCCTCCCCCCTCATACCCTTAACCCTTCCTTACCAATGCCTAACTGCCAATGCCAGAGAGTTGTGACGAGTTGCTACGAGGTAGGCAAAAAACCAAGAGGGCCAATACCAATTGGAAAAAAATCCTACCAGGCCCCTTGCGGCGACCAACCGAAGTCCATAGCAATGTCAAGAGCCTACCTAAAGGGAGGGAGGGTGGGAAACTGAATCAGCTGGCGTGGCGAAAGAGGGCGAGCCCCCGGCCACGCCGGCCCTAAATAGTGTGGGCCACGCCTCCCCAGCCACCCGATTGGTTGGCTGGGTGGACAACACGGCTGGGATTCCCCCTAGTCTCGCACATGTGGGGTGGGCGTGAAGCCCGCAACCCCACCTCCTCCCAAACTCGGAAGTGGCTTTACCTGAGCCACGATTTGTGACCCACAGTGCTGGATTTATGTATAAGCTAAACAAACTATAGCTTAGGGCCCCTCTCTCTTGGGGAGCCCCCAAAAATTAAAGGAAAAATACCTGGTTGTACATTTCCAAATATAAGATAAAAAAAGAAATAAAATGAAACCTACATACAGCAACAGTGTTTTGTGCTGTCTGGGCTCCTATGATGTGAGTCATGGGCCCCGCCTGATAGCCTGCTCCCTCAAATATCACTGGTTTGCTCCTTTCTATATATAGGGTGCCTACATTCTGCATTCTGCATGAGAGCTGGACCATAAAGAAGGCTGATCGCCGAAGAATGGATGCTTTTGAATTATGGTGCTGGAGGAGACTCTGGAGAGTCCCATGGACTGCAAGAAGATCAAACCTCTCCATTCTGAAGGAAATCAGCCCTGAGTGCTCACTGGAAGGACAGATCCTGAAGCTGAGGCTCCAAGACTTTGGCCACCTCATGAGAAGAGAAGACTCCCTGGAAAAGAGCCTGATGTTGGGAAAGATGGAGGGCACAAGGAGAAGGGGATGACAGAGGACGAGATGGAGGGACCATGTTCTTGAAGCTACGAACATGAGTTTGACCAAACTGTGAGAGGCAGTGGAAGACAGAAGTGCCTGGCGTGCTCTGGTCCTTGGAGTCACGAAGAGTCGGACACGACTAAAGGACTAAACAACAACAACATTCTGCATGGACTGGTCTCATGGCCACATGTGCAAATGGCTTTAGATACCTATGAGGTCCATAAATTACCACATAGCGTATATTCAACACACACAAAAACAGTGACAATTTGTTGTTGACAAAGGACAGCTGGACATATAAAGGGCCCCATTACCTTCAAGAGCTTAGGGCCTCAGCAAACCTAAATCCAGCCCTGGTGACCCACGAGGCTCAAGGCAACTAAGTACCAGCTTGCTGGCAGCTTGGGAAATGCCTTAAATAGGTTGGGTCGAACGGGTACAGCGTGGGTGAGAAGGGAAAACAAAACACGGAGAGTTATTCAAATTCCTCTGGTCTCCAGCCTGTGGGCGCCTGGCAAAAAGGCCCACAAAGGGACCCACATGCAGTTTCACGGAGAAATGCTTTGGGGAAGCGCGTCTCAGGCCCTCGCCTCATCCTGACATATTGTCAGAGCCAGGCCGAACCCTGCAGCTGTAACAGCTGGCACCGCCCAGGCCCCATTGCCAAGGATACAGTGCCCACCTCGTGCCAACGGTGATTCAGGCAGAGGCAATTCCTGTAAGCTGAAGAGGGAAGGGAGTGGCCCTGTCTTTTTTCCTCGAGGGAAGGGCCGGCGGTCTTCGCCGTGGAGGCGGCACAGCAGGTGCGGAGAAGAGGGGCGGACCCCAATTGCAGCAATGTTGCGCCACCCTTGCCAGCTTGAATCCTGCGCCGGCCCCTGCGCTCGCATCCCATTTCCTGGCGCTGCAGGGCTAAGGCGGCTGCCCCAGAATGGCTCCATCCTGCTGCACATTGTGGTCCTTTGCAGGAACGTGGCGTGGGCTTGCCCTCATCTCCCTGCAGGATTGCTGCCCGTGGAGTGAGCTAAGTTGCAGGCAAGGGAGCGGGGCAGAGGGTGTGCCTTTTCGTGCATTCGCATAAAAATTGCGCGATTGCAACAGGCCTCTTAAAATATGCAGGTATCTGTACACGGTTGCATCAAGTCAGTCTTTCCTGCTTTCCCCCAACTGCTAGGAAGCTTCCTTGTAAGAAGCATGCAATAGAAAGCTGCGCATGTTTGGCACCTGGGTACGACCCCACTTTTTGCAAATGCAGCAGTTAAACTCTGGGACGCTGTTAAATCCTGGATAAAGTTGGTAGACAAATGTTTGTTGCGTGGCGAGACCTCTCCCCCCCAAGTGAAATGAAGACACTGGACACATTATTTAAGGTTAATGGGCATAAAAAGGCCACAACCTTATTGATTACAGGAATTGGAAGGTATTGGCCTTAGGCATTGGTTCCTATCGACTACGCGGCATGGGGACCGGGAAGGGTTATCCACAAGCCGTGGGAGTCCTGTTGATGTACGCCAACTAGGATCCCACGGGTGTTACCGCTCGGGGGCGTGCCGGAGGCCCTCACCTCCCTAGGTTTCGGACAGGGCAACGCCCCCCCCCGGAGTCCTCTACCGGACTACCCTTTTCATTGGGGGAAGGTGATGGCGTTTCCTTCCCCCTTCCTTTGCATAACAATTAACCCCTGCCAAAACCTAACCGCCAATACCGAAGAAGTTGTGACGTTTGCTACGAGGTAGGCGAAAAAACCCAAAGGCTGGAAGTGCGCCAAGTTGGAAAAATTCCTACCAGGCCCCTTGCGGCGACCAACCGGAGTCCATAGCAAGGTCAAAGCTAGCTAAGCCTAAAGGGTGGGTGGGATGGGAAAACCGGCCAGCTGGAACGGGCCAAAGAGGGCGGTCCCCGGGCGTGCCGGCCTTAAATGGCCTAGGCCATGCCTCCCCTGCCCGCCGATTGGTGGGCCGGGTCGCAGGCACACCCAGGGATTCCCTCTTCTCGCGGGGGCTAAAACCAGCCCCCGCGTGTGTGGGAGAGGGTGGCCCGCAACCCCCCCTCCTCTTGAGCTCGGAAGGGGCTTTTTCTATCCCTCCTAAGACTAAAACCTCCAATGAAGGCTGAATGGTGGGAGAGTCAGAACAGAAACCAGGAAGAACTCCATCATGCGGCACATTGTTAAACTATGGAACTCCCTGCCACAGGAGGCAGTGATGACTACCAAAGGAGATAGCTTTAAATGTCGGCTTGACAAATTCATGGAGGAGAGTGCTATTCCATGGCTACTAGCCATAACAGCTGGGTTCACGCTCTCTACACTCGGAAGAAATTAGGAGAAGTATTTTCTGGCAAATTAGAGGCAGGGGGAGAGTTGACTCATTCAGGTCCTGTTTTTGAGGGGGATCTGGTGGCCACTGTGGGAACAGGATGCTGGACTAGAGGGACCATGGGCCTGATCCTGCTGAAGGAGCGTCTCCACCCCCATCATTCTGCCTGGACACTGAGGTCCAGTTCCGAGGGCCTTCCGGCGGTTCCCTCATTGTGAGAAGCCAAGTTGCAGGGAACCAGGCAGAGGGCCTTCTCGGTGGTGGCACGCGCCCTGTGGAACGCCCTCCCACCAGATGTCAAAGAGAAAAACAAGTACCAGACTTTTAGAAGACATCTGAAGGCAGCCCTGTTTAGGGAAGCTTTTAATGTTTGATGCATTACTGTATTTTAATATTTTGCTAGAAGCTGCCCAGAGTGGCTGGGGAAGCCCAGCCAGATGAGCGGGGTATAAATAATAAATTCTTCTTCTTCTTCTTCCTCCTCCTCCTCCTCCTCCTCCTCCTCCCCTTCCTCTTCTTCTTCTTGTGTTCTCAAAGGTCGAGCAGCCGGAAAAGTAGTAGCTCAAGTCCCCAAATAGCACCGGTCCTCCAAAAGCCAGCAACAGACACTTGCATTTCTCCTAGTCTGTCTCAGACCTCTGAGCTGCCAACCTTGCAGTGTTGGCATCAGTATCTGTGGGCACTGCCAGGGTTCCTGCCCCCCTCCCCAGTGGGTGGCACCTGCCCTGGGCTCTCTTTTTAAATAGCCCTTACTTAGCTGCAATTCCTGCACTGAATGGGGTTGGACTAGATGAGTCTTGGGGTCTTTTCCAATTCTACGATTCTATGGCCTTTTAGAATCATAGAATCATAGAATCATAGAGTTGGAAGAGACCACAAGGGCCATCGAGTCCAACCCCCTGCCAAGCAGGAAACACCATCAGAGCACTCCTGACAGATGGTTGTCAAGCCTCTGCTTAAAGACCTCCAAAGAAGGAGACTCCACCACGCTCCTTGGCAGCAAATTCCACTGTCGAACAGCTCTTACTGTCAGGAAGTTCTTCCTAATGTTTAGGTGGAATCTTCTTTCTTGTAGTTTGGATCCATTGCTCCGTGTCCGCTTCTCTGGAGCAGCAGAAAACAACCTTTCTCCCTCCTCTATGTGACATCCTTTTATATATTGGAACATGGCTATCATATCACCCCTTAACCTCCTCTTCTCCAGGCTAAACATGCCCAGCTCCCTTAGCCGTTCCTCATAAGGCATCGTTTCCAGGCCTTTGACCATTTTGGTTGCCCTCCTCTGGACACGTTCCAGTTTGTCAGTGTCCTTCTTGAACTGTGGTGCCCAGAACTGGACACAGTACTCCAGGTGAGGTCTGACCAGAGCAGAATACAGTGGTACTATTACTTCCCTTGATCTTTTGTAGCTGCCATCTTTATTTTTGACAAAGCCCTGTATGGATATGAGGGATGGCTGACTTAATCACATTAGGTTTCTTACAGTTTTTCATTTTTCCAATCTGAGTTTAGTTTTCAGCACTACCTCATCAGTTTGCAATTATTATTATTATTATTCTTTAAAAAGAAGTTATTTGTGAAAATTCATCAGCATTGTAATGCAGATTTCTGCTAATAGATACATTTTGTATGCAATTTTGCCTAATATAAATACGCTCCATATTTTCCTTATGTATCTTCAAATTTATTTTTCACCAACATTTGCATTTTTATGCACAGTTTGCCTTAATATGTGCATTTTTGTATGCATTACTTGGCTGGAAAACCACAGCCCAATATTTGGAGCAGTGCAGATTCCAAAGGATTGCTGTGTTTCAGTTCTCAAATAGTTTTCAAAAGTACCAATTAGGAAGATTTAACTTTAAATGTGAACTAAATGTAGTTTCCACCCATCTGTGAATTGATTACTTAACTCCCCTCCCCCATTTCATTGATAGTTTTGTCAAGGTTTTCACATTTTATTTAAACACCTAATAATTCCTTTTACTGTTTCCTCGCTTTGCCCTTCCCTCAAACAAAGACATGGTTGCTTTCCCTGACCCAAAATTCTAAATAATTCAACCGACTCTTAATATGGTAACACAGAATATTTATGTCTTTATTGGGACCATTTTTGCACTGCTCCTCAGCAAATAAAGGCTCCCAGAGCAGCTTACATACTATCAAAACAAGGCAGTCTCTTCCCACGGACGTACAATAGAAAAAAGAAAAACATGGTACACAAAGGAAAAGAGACAAAGAGGGACGAGGAAAATCAAACTCAAGCAGCAATCTCTAAACAGTTGTTCTTCTGGTCCATGGTTGGGGTACAGATTGAGGCACCAGGGTCACCTAGATTAGGCTATCATGACCTGTCATTTGCTATGGGAAGTGTGTGTGTGTGTGTGTGTCTCATTCGTAGGGTGGGCACCAGATGGCACATTGTTGGGGACCCCATCCATCCTGCACCCAGCCCCAATTCCCCAGGTGCCTTTAGCCTTCTCTGACCCAACTGCAAAGCCAATTCCAACACCTGGACAGGTGGGTGTGACCTGTCTTCCAGATGACCTCTCTTATCCCCTAGTCCAGCATCCTGTTCTCACAGTGGCCGACCAGATGTGCCAGTTTGCATTTCCTAGTGCCGAAAGTATTGCCCTGATGTGTAGAGGTCTTTCCTATTCTACTTAATTCAAGAGGGTTCTGGAAGCTCCTCTGCGTGAAAGAAACAAGCAGAAGGTTCATGTTGTTTGGGTTATTCCTTCAGAGAAGATGAGTACAGTTGGCTTAAATTCTGTCAAGGTCATGCAGGCTATAATAGTGAGGCCAGAAGGAGTCTGGGTTTCTCTATCTCTTTTATTTCTGGTGTGGTGTCCTATACATAGTATGCTTGTTGTTGTTGTTGAGTCGTTTAGTCATGTCCGTCTCTTCATGACCCCCTGGACCAGAGCACGCCAGGCACTTCTGTCTTCCGCTGCCTCCCGCAGTTTGGTCAAACTCACCCTGGTAGTTTCGAGAACACTGTCCCACCATCTCGTCCTCTGTCGTCCCCTTCTCCTTGCGCCCTCCATCTTTCCCAACATCAGGGTCTTTTCCACGGAGTCTTCTCTTCTCATGAGGCGGCCAAGGTATTGGAGCCTCAGCTTCACGATCTGTCCTTCCAGTGAGCACCCAGGGCTGATTTCCTTAAGAATGGATAGGTTTGATCTTCTTGCAGTCCATGGGACTCTCAAGAGTCTCCTCCAGCACCAGAATTCAAAAGCATCCATTCTTCGGCGATCAGCCTTCTTTATGGTCCAGCTCTCACTTCCATAGTATTCTTAGTGTTAAGGTTTAGTCCTATTTTAAGTTATTGTAAGATTAAGTTAGGTCTGCTGCAACTGGATTTCTTATGGACAGTGCCAATCCTGAATGTAATGGATTTGTGACCATTATGCTCATTTGCCTTCAGTAGCAGTAAAGCTCTGCTGGATGAAATACAATGGCCTCTGGTCTATTTGTTGGGAATCCTGCAACATGTTTAAGTTGTTACTCTGCTAACTATACATTGGGATCTACTCTGGATCAATACTGAGTAGAACTTCACTGACAAGATGCCCATTATGGGAAACCCACAAACAAGGACTTGAGCACAAGAGCACAACTCTTTCCTTCTATGGTTTACAGCAACAGTTGTTCAGCCACTCTCACTGAAATAATAGCAATTATATTGCAGCCTAGGGCACAGTCCTACACAATTCGCATTGTGCCCCATGGAATTCAGTGGCTTAGGACTGTAGCCGCAGAGTGTTCTGAGGACTCCACGTTGCCTCGTACAACAGCCTTGCTGGGTAGGCTTGCCTAATCCCTAGGTTGTAGAGGTGGGAACCTGGGACTAGGCGAGGGTGGGTTTGCTTTGGCAACAGGGCCAGATTCACCGAAATGTGCCACGGATTTTCTTTATTCTTGTCACTGCATTTTAGATACAATGAGCTTAATACGATACGATAATCTTTATTGTCATTGTCCCGTACAGAACAACGAAATTGAAAATCTACATCAGACATTCAGAAACCAACAAGGCTGCTATCCCAGCTATCCCAGCCTGGTTAGCCCCCTAAAAACTCTGATACCCCATAATTCAATACAATACACTCCCATAGAGACTACCTTACACTGCATTTAAAACCAAAATCGCATTTGGATAGAAACTGTTTCTCAGGCGGCTGATCCTAGTCTTTATAACCCTGTACCTTCTTCCAGAAGGCAGAAGCTGAAAGAGATCATTTCCGGGGTGCGCACTATCCTGCGCTATCTCTGCAGCTTTCTTATGGCACCTGGAAGCATAGATTTGATCCAAGGTGGGAAGAGTGCACCCAATTATTCTCTCTGCAGTCTTTACAACCCTGGACAGCATTGTTTTTTCCCTGACTGTGCAGCTCCCAAACCACACACACAGCCCATAAGTTAATACGCTCTCCACAGTGTAATGGTAAAATGCCATCAACAGGTCCTTTGAGAGATTATTTTTCCTGAGGATTCTCTTAATGCTCATAGAATCAAAGACTGGAAAGGACCCCGAGTGCCATCTATGCAGGAATCTCAGGTAAGCATCCAGCTCAGGTGTTGAAACACCTGAGTTATCAGGAGAGAAGCTTGCAATGGAAAAAAACCAAGGAGGATCATGTTCAGATGTTCCTCAGATACCACATTCCTGCACTGAAGCTGGCTGACCTAGAAGAACCCTTCCAATTCTGCAATTCTATGAACACTAGTGGAGCTCTTAGCCACAGACTATACTTTGCCCCAATAGCTGGAGGCAGCGATGCTTCTGAACGCCTGTTGCTGGAAACCACAGGAGGGGAGAGCGTTGCTCTTGTGCTCAGCTCCTGCTTGTGGGTTTTCCCCAGGCCTCTGACTGGCCCCTGTGAGAACAGGATGCTGGACTAGATGGGCCATTGGCTTGCAGGCAGCTGTCAGGCTTCTAGAGAACTGCGGCTCCTTTCAACAGGGGAGATCTTTCCAGACCCTGTGGTTAAATCCTGTGTGGCCCTGAACCCTGCAAAAGGAGGTTTTGCCATTCCAGGACGGTAGCTCAGAGCAGCTCCTTTGCATGCAGAAGCTCTCTGGTCCAATCCCCAGTATCCCCAGGGTAATCCTGGGAAAAGTCTGCAACTTTGGAGAGCGGCTTCCAGCCTGAGATGATGCCCACGTTGAGCTAAATGGTTGGACTCAGCACACAGTTTCCTACATTATAAGGCCGGGTGGGGGTGTTGCACCTCACAGCCCTTTCATTAAGAACCCCCACCCTCTTTAGCAACATTTCAAGGGGAATAAACACAACACATTCACCACAAAAGGAAAACCCCCAATTCGCCGGACGTTCAGAAGCCAAAACTCCCCCGAGCGAGGGAATAACCCAGTTTGTTTCGGTTTCCGAGGAAAGACATCAGCCCCGTGTAGGTCTCTATGAGGAGGGGCTCATGGGCCACCTCCACCCCGGCAGTTCGGCCAGCTGTGAGATCCGTTCTTTCGGCATTCTGGACTGCTTGAACCAGCATGGCAGTGAAGGCAGAGATCTGCAAGAAGGGCAGGAGAAGAATCCGGTCAGGCTGGCCACATTTTTGGGGGAGCTGCTGAACAGGACAATATATTTGTAGCCTGGTCTAGTAATAATTTATGTTGGGCCATCATAACCTTGCAGATAGAAAGAGGAGGCTTTCTCTGCACAGTGCAAACTGTGGAACTGCCTCCCACAGGAAGCAGGAAGCCACAAATACATACAAATGCAAATCTCCCCCACTCCTTCTACGCAAGGATGCAGAACTGCCCTGGAATTTTTTGAGAACTAATCCAGGACAGGAGAAGTAGGCACGGGGAAAGTTTTGCTTGAGATTCCAGTTTTTCCACTCTTCGGTTCTCCAAATTTCCACATCATTTTGCAAATCTTTTTTTTTTTAAAGTCCACATGAAAATTCAGCAACATTTTAGTGCAATTTTCTCCTAATGTGCACATTTACGTGCTGTTTTGTCCAATATGGACATATGTATTTATTTATTTTGCAAATCTCAAATATAACACATTTTTGGATGTTACCCTCTCTAATATATACCTTTCTATGCACGCTTCACCCTACCATATGCATTCTTGTACGCAATACTTGGCTGGAGACCTCCATTGCAAAATTCAGAGAAGTGTGAATCTTGAAGGATCTCTGTGCTTTGGTTCACACACCCTGCAAAATTAGGTCTACTTGCCTACAAGTGCCAAACCAAACCAAATTTCTACCCCATCTCCGTTTCTCAAGTGTGGTTGGGTGCTAAGGATGCCCACATATTAAAAATACCCCGACAGGAATGGCCAAAGCCGGCCAGCCACTGTGTGCATTCTGTGGGTCGCTCCCTTTGCAACCGAAGGAAAACAACTGCCTGCCTAGGAAACCAAGCAATGCTTGGCCGTCCGCAGCAAATAACATTTGAAACTGAATCCCGGCCATCTCACTGCTGAGAATACCGAGGAACCAGGAATCTCCACTTGTCCTTCGACCACCCCTCTGCCACCTCCCCAAAGAACATTGTGTCCCACACTGGAAATACGCTGCAGGTTCATGGGGTGCATGAAAAATCCTTCCCCCCCCCATCAATTCCTGCTCTGTGTGCACAGGAGCTTTCAGAATCTTGTGCACACGAAAGAAGCTGGCTCTTTCTGCCCCCATTCAGAGATCGAGGATTAAAAGCGGTCCATGGCAGTGACTTCTAACACGCCGAGGCATCCTCAGAACTCGGGGAGCACAAAGGAGGTTGGGTTACACGCCAGGCAGGCAGACAGACCCCGTGGAGAGGTGCCAAAATCTCGAGAGTAAACAGAGAGAGCAGGGCCGTCTTAAGCATATCCGTCGTCGTGGTGCAAAGCTCCCTCCAGCACCCCCCTGTTTCCCAGAGTTTTTTAATGGAGGACGGCACTGCCGGCGGGTGGGCAGCGACTGGAGGGCGGCTCCTCCAGCGGGGAAGAGGCGGAGGATGGAAGCGGCGCTTCCTGGCTCAGCTGGCCTCTCTGTGCCATGTTGGCCATGGCAGATGGAGGCTCCGGGTGTGGCACTGCTTCAGCGTGGCATGGCGGAGGCGGGCAAGGGTGGCGAGCTGATGCCAGGAGGTGCCGCGTCCAGCCTCCACCTCTTCCCTGGCACCCTCCAGAACTTTGCACCCTGGCGCCCCATGCCACTAGCCTCTATGGGTAAGACGGCCCTGAGGGAGAGACACACAACTCGGGAAGAAGTAGCTGGTGGGTGTTTGGGGGAAACAAAGCCATGTTGCTCATGATTAACCCCCTGTTGCCTCTTCACGCAAGTTCACACACTTCGCTTCAGAGTTTGATGTGGAGATTGCAAGCTCCTCAGTGCAAAGAACTGTATTTCTGGAACTAAGCAATTGATGGATAGTCAGAATTGCCAGCTCAGTTCCAGGCCAGATGTCATGCTCAGCTGGGGTGGGGTGAGAAATTCGATTCAGGTTCCCACTTAAAGGAGGACCTACTCAATTTGCACTTTCTGAAACAGTGCAGGAACCCAAACACAGCCCTCCGTGGAATCTGCACTTCTCTGAAACCCTCAATGCCGTTCTCCAATAAAGTAATTTGTGCAAAATGTACATGCCAGAGTGAAGCATGCACCAAAATTGCTTTGCAAAAAAATGTATATATTAGGCAAAATTGTATTCACAAATCTGTACGTTAGGAGAAATCTGGACAAAAATGCTAATAAATGTTCATGAGGACAAGAAAGGAAGGAAGGAAGGAAGGAAGGAAGGAAGGAAGGAAGGAAGGAAGGAAGGAAGGAAATAAGCTGCTGTGGAAATAAAGAGAACTGAAATTAAGGCTGAAAATAATGAGAAACCAAATTTGGCAGATTTGCCCATCCCTCTGCTTTGGGGCCCCTGAACATCAAGAAGCAGGTGGGAATCTGTCCCCTTCATCTCAACCTTTATCACTCCCTCCAGGTCTTAATCAGGCCCAAAATACGTTTTCATTTCAGCTACGTTTCCTTCCGCCACAGAAGCTGGAGTGTGAATGTTTGGAGAGGTCTCTTCCCTGAGCAGCAGGAATGCCATGGACATTCAATGCCACCACCACCACCCCTCAGCTGAGCCAGTTGCAGCCACAGGCTTCCCTGCCATGCCAATCTAGCGCTGCAATAAATTTGCTTATCCCAACAAGATGAGCCGGAAGAACTGATTGCAGGCATTAGGAGTGTGTGATGTAGTTGGCCAATATCCCTCAAGTGCAAGAGCAGCTCACCCTTCTCAAATATGCTGACATCACAGAAAAGTCACTGATTCGTCATCTGCAAATGCAAATCTTTGGAGACAGGTGTCTCCAGGCACCATCCTGAATGGAAATCGGCTTGGGGTTTTCCTTAGCTGTGCCGCCCACCAGGAAGTGATGCAGACGCCTTCTTGGGAAAGGAGAGGGCACTTTGGAATCCAGGTCATGCTACCCCGACACACCGAAAAGCCCCAAACCAAATCCTATCCTGGGTGGATGGCTGCCTCAGCGCCTGCTCATCTCGAGACAGGGCCTTTCCTGGGATGCTCCTAGATTGAGGGGTTCCCTCCCAAGAGAGTGGACTGGCTCCCTCCTTCGTTATCCTTCCACCGGCAGGCTGAGACCTTCCTGCCCAGACAGGCCTTTGGAGACTAAAGTGCAGAAGATGTTGATTGCTGGGCTGACAAATTGGAATTTAATTGTTGGTTCCAAATGTGTTCTATTATATTTTAACTTGTTTCTTCTTATTACTCCTTGTACAGTGGTACCTCAGGTTACATATGCTTCAAGTTACATATGCTTCAGGTTACAGACTCCGCTAACCCAGAAATAGTGCTTCAGGTTAAGAACTTTGCTTCAGGATGAGAACAGAAATTGTAAGCTCCGGCGGCGCGGCGGCAGCAGGAGGCCCCATTAGCTAAAGTGGTGCTTCAGGTTAAGAACAGTTTCAGGTTAAGAACGGCCCTCCGGAACGAATTAAGTACTTAATCCGAGGTACCACTGTATAATGTTTCAAAAATTTTATGTGTTGCCTTGAATCCCAACTTGAGAGAAAGCCATGTCCCATTCCTGGGGAGATGTCGTTGTGGGCTGGGAGCAAGCCCCCTCCCCTGCTCCATTGAATGGTCCTCGGCCACATCAACCTTAGGACGTCCAATTCGGACGGTCTGGTCGCATGGTGCAGGCTATTTAAACTGCCCACGGCCAAGGACTCACCCCTGTTTTTCTCCCTGCTTGGCTAGTTCTTCCTCCCTCCCTCCCTTAGGTTAGGCTCTTTATCTCCTGACCTCGCTATGGACCTCAGTTGGTCGCCTTGGTTGTCATTTGGTTTCTTCCCCTACCTCGTAGCAAATCGTCACAACTTTGTAAGGTTTGGCGGTTAGGCAATGGAGTATTAGGTGAAGGGGAGGGGAGGTAGTGGCCATCACCTACCCCTCTGAATTCAAGGGTATTCCGGGGGGCGTGGTCTTTGTCCGAAGCCCCATATGGGGGGCTAGGGCCATGGCACGACCCCTAGCAGTGACCCTGGGGGAGTCCCTAGTTGATGTGCATCAGCAGAGCTCCCCCTACTGGTGGTTAGCCCTTCCAAGACGGGCAGAAGTAAGACATAGTTGTGTGGTTTCCAATGCCTAAGCCAATACCACTCACATTGTATAACAAATAAAGTTGTGACCTTTTTGGCCCTTTAACCAAATATATTGTTTCATGTGTATTTATTTCATTTCCCAGGAAGGTTTGGGACCTTGCCACGCAAACATGGGATAAAAATGCATTAAACAGAAATACTAATAATTTATTCTCCTGTCCTTCACCACCCGCTTTCCTGCAGTGAAGCTCTAAGCGGCTGCAGCAAATCCCAGCTGGAAACCTGGACTAAACCCGATTTTTTAAAAGGGGCAATAAAATCTAGCGAGAATGGACTATTAAAGGACAAGCCTAGCTAGTAACAGCTTAGGAAGCCAAAATGTCTAGGCTGGGCTTAAACTTCAAGTTCCTGCATCTGTTTGCTTCTGCTCTGTCTCCAAGGTCTCTGCTGCCCTGGTAGACTGTGTTATTTTCCTGCATGCTTTCTGGCGGGCTGCCCTATTGTGACCACATTTTGCTGCTGTAAAATCTAAAAGGCGGTGTTTTGTGTGTTCGTGCCTCACGTGCTGGTCCCTTTCCACCGGAGGTACATCTCTGCCTGCGTTTTCTGCTGCAAATATTTGGGATTGCTGAAAAGCGATTGCACCTGGAGTCCTGCAAATGAAAGGTTTGGGGCTGGAGGGGCGACCTGAGAAGTCCGACCCGCGTGCGGTTTCACCCCTTGCTCTCCCAAGATGATCTCAGAGCCCGCAATCTCCCTCCCTCCTTGCCTTCGGAGTTTGTGGGATTCCTAGCAGCTCCTTCATCTCTTGAAGCGTGAACGGTTCCATTCTTGCCAAATCGGATGTTTTCCTGAAACCACTTGGGCGAGAAATCCAGCCCGTCTCGTTGAAGAGAAATAAAACCTCTTTTCTCTCCTTTTCCTTGCGCCCACGAGGGGGGACGGCGGTTTGAAAAAGGGACAACTTCCCAACGCTCCCCAAAGCTGGATTAAAGCACTCGGAGGCGACGGAGCGTCCCTTTGAACAAGCCACTTCACACTCCCTTTCTCGCTCTGTTTTCCACAGGGCGATCCGATTACTGACATCCTTACGAGTGTGCAGATGGGGAGATAATTTGGGGAGGAGGAAATATTGTTTTTGACCTGAGCATGTGTGGTTTCAAATCGATGGTTGTGGAGCTTATATTTCACGCTGCGGGGAGAGGGGGGCATATGCCACTCATTTCCTGTTTACATTAAGGCACCAGGAGTCCATTATTGAATGATCTCCGTTTCACGCCATGACATTTATCTGATGCCCACTGTGGCTACTGCAACCGCCCTCACATGCCTCCTGCATTTCTCCATTTGGAAATTTATTTGGAGGGCTCAGCCGCCCATGCAAGTCTTCTTTAACCTGGGGTTAGCCGCAGGTGAAAAGAAGGGCTATTGGTGGCTACCGGCCACAATTGCCACTAGCCACAATGACCACGGCTGGACGCAGCAATGCTTCTGGAGACCAGGAGGAAAAGGATTCCTTTGCTCAAATGCTCCTTTGCTTGCTGGTTTCCCACAGGATGGATCATTGGTCTGATCCTGTACCAGGCTCTTCTTAAATTCTTATGGGGGAGAAATTTGGATTGGTGAACATTTTTATGCAGATTTCTCAAACTGGCTATGTGACTGGAGCATCCTTCAAAGTCCACACTTTTCTGCAATTTGTTGTGTAGTTCTCCAATAATTAACAAAAGAGTGCAAGAACGTGTCTATTAGGAAAAGCGTGTGGGTATACTTCAGCGAAAACATAACAATATACTATACCTGGGAAACTTGCTTGCAAAAATGTGTCCATCAGTCAGAATTGCAAACAAAATGAGTATTTTATATTTGTTTTCGTTTGGGAGTTGCCTTGTTACTTTTAAAATGAAAGGTGGTCTATAAATTACCTTCAAAATTTTAAAAAATAATGTAAATACTTTAGCAGGCAGATCCACTAATATGGGAGCGCCTCTTTTAAAAAATCAAATGAATCACAAACTGATGTGAAAATGTGTGAACCAAGCTTAAGATTGAAAAAATAGGAAACCTAAATTGACAGGTCCATCGGTCTCTAATTATAGGTTGGTACCAATCCTCAGAGCTTAATTTTTAAGAAAAGCAGTCCGTGGAAGCTGCAAATGGGAGTGGGGAATGGGTGCGTGGGGAGAGGGGCTTAACCCTCTCCCTGCCGGCCGTTTCCCCACTCAGAATTGCTTTTCTCCAAGCTGCTCTCAAGAGAGAGATTGGTCTCAAGATGAGCTGCAAGGGAACTCTCTGTTATTTTTTTAATTGTTACTGCTAACATTGGGATGTCCACTTTGGAAGCTACTGGATTATACCCTCGGTATGTCGGGGAATACAGTGGTACCTCGGGTTAAGCACTTAATTCGTTCCGGAGGTCCGTTCTTAACCTGAAACTGTTCTTAACCTGAAGCACCACTTTAGCTAATGCGGCCTCCCGCTGCCACTGCTGCACCATTTCTGTTCTCATCCTGAAGCAAAGTTCTTAACACGAGGTAATATTTCTGGGTTAGTGGAGTCTGTAACCTGAAGCGTACGTAACCTGAAGCGTATGTAACCCAGGTACCACTGTACTCTGAAGACGAAGGCTGGGGAATGCAGCAGCAGGCAGTTCAGATCAGTTCAGAAGAGGAAGAAGAGGGTTGTCTGTTTGTGTTGGCAACATGATGCTGTAATAAAAAGGACTATAAAACTATCAACGGCTCGTTGATTCTGATCAGTGAGATACCGAAGGGAGAGGGGGAACGCCCCTGCCTGACACAGTATTACTATTAACCCAATCCATTTTATGTGTCCTCTTGACACATTGTGGCCCACCTGGCAGATGGTGATAAACCTCTGGTTGATGTTCTTCACGGGGTGCTCTGTGAAGGTCGTGTAAGGCATGTCGGTGGAGAAGGGGTTCCAGCGCGCCAGGAGAGATGGCTCTCGCTGTTTGTCCCAGAAGATCCTCAGGCCTTCTCCCTCCCTCCTAGAAAGCGAAACATTTGGACAGGTGAGGAGGCCCTGTCTTTTTCGGCAGACAGACCAAGGACGGCAATTGGTTTGTTTCTTTCATTTATATACCACCTTTACTTCCCAAGCATCTCAAACTGGTGTACACGGTTGTTCTCTACCCACAATTCATCCTCAAAACAACCCTGTGGATTAAGCATAGAGGTGGTAACTGGCCCAAGGTCACCCAGTGAACTTTGTGGCTTGTTTGGGGATTCGAACGCTGATCCCCCAGGTCCTAGTCCAATGCTCTAACCATTGTGCCACAATGGCTTTCTTGTTTCATAGAATGAGAACGCTAGAGGAGGCACAAGAATCATATGGTTGTATAGTTGGGACCCTGAGGGTCCTCTAGTCCAACCCCCTGCAATGCAGGAATCACAGCTGAAGCATCCGCCAGGGCCAGGGCCTTCTCAACACTGGCTCCGGCCTGGTGGAACGCTCTGTCTCATGAGACCAGGGCCCTTCAGGATCTGATTTCTTTCCCCAGGGCCTGTAAGATAGAGTTGTTCCACCTTGCCTTCGGCTTCGAATCAACTTGATCTCCTCCCCCTCTTTCCCTTTCCCTTTCTCCTTCTGTGATGGAACTCCTACTTGGGGACTTCCCTGGCTTTTTTCTGGCCCACGTAGGACCAGTCTGGATAGTTGGCCTTGGTGAAGACTTGACGTTTTCATCCCCCCAAAAGTTTTTGATTTGAGTTTCCACTGAAATGAGGCTGCATTTTAATGTTTTAATGTTGTATTTTAATCTTGTTTTTAAAGTTGTATTTCAATCAATTGTTTTTATATCTGGTGTTAGCCGCCCTGAGCCTGGTCTTGGCTGGGGATGGAGGGGTATAAATAAATTTTATTATTATTATTATTATTATTATTATTATTATTATTATTATCCATGACAATCCAACCTCTGCTGAAAAATGTTTGGTGAATGAGAGTCCACCACTTCTCATGGGAGACTGTTCCACAGCTCTTACTATCAGAAAGTTCTTCCTGGTGTTTAGTCGGAATCTCCTTTCTTGCAACTCAAAGCCATTGGTTTGGGACCTACCCTCTGGAGCAGCAGAAGACAGAGGTCGAATGGCCACCTGTCCATGATTTGTTAGCTGAGATTCCTGCATTGCAGCGGGTTGGACTAGATGACCCTTGTGGGTCCCTTCCAGCTCTACCATTCTATGAGGCTGAGAAGGGTGGAAAACAGAAGCATTGTGAGTTGTGAGTGTTTGGGGGTAGCTACAGGAACACACCGATTTAAAGGAACTAGACTCAGCTGTTTATGATTCTCTCTGTGTGTGCATTGTGGGGGGTTGCTTTTTTAAAAAAAGAAGTATTTGTAGGTACACTGAAACTAATGCTACTTTTTATTTTTCTTAAGTAAAAGAGACAGATTAGATGTTTAGAAAAAAAATATGGGGGGGGGGACGACAGGTTTCCCATTTCAGATGTAATTACTGTAAAACCTCCCAAACACCTCTGCTGTGGGTGCCAAAACTCTGGCTTGGGTTTGTATTGTCTGAGAAATGAGCTAAATAAACCTTTATTTTGCTCCCTCCCCGAGACGATCCCACAAGCGGGGGCTCTTTGATGGCTTCCAAGTTCTGGAACATGAAAAGCAAAAAGCGTCTCAGGGACAAAACGTTTCCCAAGTCCTGGTTGTTGTTTTTTTTTTCCATTCAGAAAGCACCTGGCTCAGAACATAAGTGAAAAAACGAAAACAAAGCACAGATCTCATCTCCTGCCTCTTTGCCAATTTCCGATATTTAGTATTTTGATATTCAAGCTCCGCCTCTGATTTTCTATCTAGCTAAAGAACATAAAAAGAGCCTTCTGGTCTATGGCCCATCTAGTCCAACATCCTGTTTCTCACAGTTGCCCTTTCTGGGAAACCCACAAACACAATCCGGACTCAAGAGCAATTCTTCCCTCCTGCGGTTTCTGGAAACTGCTAACCAGAGGAATCATTGCCCCTGACCAATTCTAGGTGGCCTCAAGAGAAGTCTACCATCAAGATCAAGGGAAATAATAGTACTGCTCCATTATGGACTTTTGTGTCCAGTTCTGGGTACCACAATTTAAGAAGGATGGTGACAAGTTGGAGGGTGTGCAGAGGAGGACGACCAAGATGATCAAGGGTCTGGAAACCAAGCCATATGAGGAACAGTTGAGGGAATGCTTAGCCTGGAAAAGAGGAGACAGAGAGCAGATATGATAGCCATCTTTCAATATCTCAAGGGCTGTCCCATGGAAGAGGGAGCAAGCATCTTCTCTGCTGCTGCTCCAGAGGGTAGGAGCCAAACCGATGGATTCAAATGAGAAGAAAAGAGATTCAGACTAACCCTTAGGAAGAACGACTGATGGCAAGAGCTGTTCAACAGCAGAACAACCTCCCTTAGAGAGTTGGTGGGCTCTCCTTCCTTGGAGGTTTCTAAGCAGAGGTCAGATGGTCATCTGTCATAGATGCTGGGGAACAGGGCACTGAGAGGAGATACGATAACCATCTTCAAAGATCAAAAGAGTTGTCACATGGAAGATGGAGCAAGCTTGCTTTCTGCTGCTCCAGAGGATAGGGCCCAATCCAATGGATTCCAGTTACAAGAAAGGAGATCCGGACTCAATTTCAAGAGTTGTTCCACAGTGGAACGGTCTCCCTCAGAAGGTTGTGGACTCTCCTTCCTTGGATGTTTTTAAGCAGAGGTTGGATGGCCATCTGTCATGGGTGCTTTAGCTGAGATTCCTGCTGAGCCAACTCTACAATTCTAGGTGAAATATACTCGGAGTCGAGAGTGGATTTCATGCTCTTTATTCAGCTCATAGTGGTGAGAAGGAATGGAAGTTCACCCAGAATGTCTGCTTTATATACATTATTTACACAATGGGCCCCATGTGATTGGCTAATTCCAGGATTCTCCTGTAGGCCAATCAGGTTGCGGATTCCCTTCCACCTGAAGCTGGATTGGGTGGCTCCTGTGGACCAACCAGACTGCTGCATTCTGGATCCTATTGTTCTAGGACCAATCAGACTGCTGCATTTTGGATCCTATCCAACTCAGTACATAACACCAGGATTCTAGGATTCAGTTATTCTATTTTTCTATGAAATGGTCAGGGAGGGAAGTGGGGGGGGGGGAATCAATTCTATGGTTTAGTGGTTAAATCGAAAATCAAAACGTCATCACCAGAGCAAGAAGTTCACCAAGAGTCCATTCCTTTCTTTCTTCAGATATTGCGCTTTCCAGTCTTTCCCCCAAGTTCCCCCTATTGTCCTTTTTGGCAAGCACCTTTCTTCCCTCACCCAGAGCTACAGAGGAGCACCCATTCCGATGACTAAAGCGGCACAACGGTGGCTCCCATCCTCTTTGTCTGCCTGAGCCTCTCCTCCCTGCAAACCTCAGAGAGGGAATTAAAAGGGTAGCCCCAGGCGGCACGCCAAGATTTATGAGGAAATGCAGACACAAATTCTTGCTCCGCAGGCTGGGTGTGGAAGCACAGCAAGGGGGAAAGGGGGGGGGGACACAAACATGCAGGAAGAACCGGTGGCCCAAACCCTTTCCTCCGTCAAAACCCACAAAGGCTTCTCTCCCCAGCAACGCAGGACGCTGCAGCCTCCATGTTTGTTTATGTTAGCGACCCAAAGGAAGTGAAAGGTTGGCACCTCGGAGGTCAAGTGGGCGCTGGTGGGTTTTGCTGAGTGCGTGACATCAGGGGAAGTTTCTTTCTTCCCTCCATAATGACAAGTCGGTCCCCCGAGAGGTTGGCACGGAGTCAGACAAAACCAAATTTTTGTGTGTGTTTTTTTCAGAGAGCGCTTACAATTCTATCCACGGGCCTGAGCTCCTCCAAACCCCAAAAAGCAGCTGCTGTGGGGGGGAAACAGAGGCTCCAGGGGACACACGACTGAACTCTTTGAACCGATGATCTGGAAGGAACACCAGAGGCAATAGCAGTGGTTTTCAAAGGAGAGGAGGGCAAGGGGGGCAGGAAGACTCAAAGGCAAAGTAAGATTTAAACATTTCAGCATAGCATAGCATAAAAAACCCGTATTTTTTGCTCTATAAGACTCACTTTTTCCCTCCTAAAAAGTAAGGGGAAATGTGTGTGCGTCTTATGGAGCGAATGCAAGCTGCACAGCTATCCCAGAAGCCAGAACAGCAAGAGGGATTGCTGCTTTCACTGTGCAGCGATCCCTCTTGCTGTTCTGGCTTCTGAGATTCAGAATATTTTTTTCCTTGTTTTCCTCCTCCAAAAACTAGGTGCGTCTTGTGGTCTGGTGCGTCTTATAGAGCGAAAAATACGGTATATACAACCAAAAACAGTATCCATGCCATGCCCCTCTTCAAGAGCACTGACTATTCTTCTACAGTTCTCCACGACATATTGTTGTGAGCAGAGATTCCCAACTTGGACAAATAGGGAAGATCAGAAAAGAGAAAGGCTTTTTTCTGCTAATGAGGAGAGGAGAATTTGTTTGACTCGAATTAGACCTAATATAAATGAGATTGCCTGGCAAAAGCAAGCTCACACCTCTCATCGAGTTTGTATAACAACTTAAGGAATCTATATAAGGGGCTCGTTTATCATTATATCAGGGAAATTATTCATCTTCTTATGTAGCTGCATTGTTTTATACTTTATGGACGCCCCATGATCATATTATAAAGTAGTTGTGTTCTAGGTTATAAATCAAGCACTGCTAGGAATTCTCCACTCCGGAGAATTCACCCCCCCTCCGGCAAAATGTATTTCTTATTAATTAAAAAAAATATTTTTTTCTTCTGAAAGTGTGGCCAGGGAAAAAAAGTTTGAGAAAGTCACTTTCGGACCTGGCAAGGAGGTGGGGTTGCGGGCTTCACGCCCACCCCACATGCGCAGGGGCTGGTTGCAGCACCCGCGAGACCGAGGGAATCCCGGGCGCGTCGTCCGCCCGGCCAGCCAATCGGGTGGCTGGGGGGGCGTGGCCTGCCCTATTTAGGGCCGGCGCAGCCGGGGCTCGCCCTCTTTTCTCTGTGCCAGCCATCCCGTTTTCCCACCCTCCCTCCCTTTAAGTAGGCTTCTGACTTTGCTATGGACTTTGGTCTGTCGCCGCAAGGGGCCTGGTCGGAATTTTTCCCAATTGGCAATTTCAGCCAATCGGTTTTTTGCCTACCTCGTAGCAACTCGTCACAACTCCTCGGCATTGGCGGTTAGGCATTGGTAAGGAGGGGTTAAGAGGATGTGTGGGGGGGGAGGAAACGCCATCACCTCCCCCCAAAAGCGAAGGGCAGTCCGATAAAGGATTCCGGGGGGGCGTGGCCATGACCGAAGCCTATGGAGGTGTGGGCCTAAGGCACACCCCCGAGCGGTGACCCGGGGGAACTCCTAGTTCACGTGCCTCAGCAGGACTCCCCCGTATGGAGTTAACCCTTGCCGGTCTTCAGCAATCGGGCTGGAGCCGGCTAGTTGATAGGACCAATGCCTAAGCCAATACCTCTCATTCCTGAAATCAATAAAGTTGTGGCCTAATTCGCCCATTAACTTTAATACTTGGTGTCCAGTGTCTTTATTTCTCCCTGGTGGGGGGCGGGAACTCGCCACGCAACCACTGGCCTACACTAATGAAACTATGGAACTCTCTGCCACAGGAAGCGGTGCTCACCACCAATTTGGATGGCTTTAAAAAGAGGGTTGGGAAAATCCATGGAGGAGAGGGCTGCTGAAGGCTACCGGTCAGAGAGGGCTCTTGTGGTCAGATCCTGCTTCCTACAGGTATCTGGTTGGCCACTGTGAGAGCAGGATGCTGGACTAGATGGGCCTTCTTATGTAACCCTCTGTTGTCTTTGTCCATGGAGTCTTCTTGGCAGGGATACTGGAGTGGCTTGCTGGTTCCTGCTCCAGGCGGATCACGTTTGGTCAAAACTCTCCGCTATGACCTGTTCATCTTGGGTGGCCCTGCACAACATAGCTCATAGCTTCTCTGAGTTATTCAAGCCCCTTCGCCACAGCAAGGCAGTGATCTATGAAGGGGCCTCTGAAGGACAGATCCTGAAGCTGAGGCTCCAAGACATTGGCCACCTCATGAGAAGAGAAGACTCCCTGGAAAAGACCCTGATGTTGGGAAAGATGGAGGGCACAAGGAGAAGGGGACGACAGAGGACGAGATGGTTGGACAGTGTTCTCGAAGCTACCAGCATGAGTTTGACCAAACTGTGGGAGGCAGTGGAAGACAGGAGGGCCTGGCGTGCTCTGGTCCATGGGGTCACGAAGAGTCAGACACGACTAAACAACAACAACAACATGTAACCCTCTGCAGTGCATAATCACAGAAGCACAGATTTACAGAGTTGGAAGGGGCTACGGGGTCATCTAGTACACCCCCTGCAATGCAGGAATCTTTAACCTGATGCCAGACTCGAACCCATGACCCCAAGTTCAAGAGTCTCATGCTCTACCAACTGAGCTACCCTTCACAGCTGAAGAACCCCTGATGCCAGGCAGCCATTCTCTCCAGCCTCCCTCTCCTGCCTCTCGCTTCCCTTTTCTCATGCACTGGTTCTGCCTTGCAGGGCGGTGCAACTCTGAGCAGAGACTACGCCCTTGAAGCGACGCAGCCAAAGACCGGGATAATTACAGTGCTCAGCAGCCCAGTTTACAAGGCAGCCTAAGTGCCGTCCCAAAATCAAAGTGGGAAATGGAGAGAGGGCTTTACTAGCGACTTAGTGAGATATTATTCATGCTTTTGAAGAGCATTTTCTTTCCTGAGAGAGGGAGGCAAAGCTAGAATTAATGGACCCTTAGGCCCAAAGTATCCTGGCTATGTCTCATTTCCCCTCCCCAATCTTCCTCCCATCCCTCCTGGAAGTTTACTTCTTCACGCAGCACACCGTTGAGCTGTGGAACTCTCTCCCACAAGATGCACTGATGGCCATCAAAGTAGATCACTTGAAAAAAGGACTGGATAATTTCCTGGAGGAGAGAGCTATCAGCCACGACAACCACGCCATATTTGGCCGGATAAGGGCGACCGTCCACGATTTCCCCTCTCTTCCTGAAAGAGGCCTGTGTCCAATTCCTGCCCTGGGCTTGGCTGTTGTTGCTGCTGTTGCTGCTCTCGTCAACCCTAAGGGCCAGCGTTGCAGACAATGCCTTTTGGCGATAATCCCACCGGGATTTTCGAATCTCCTCTTTGTGTTCCTCTAATTACCCGCATGGTTTCAGGAGATAAATCACTTAGGGGAAGCATTTCAGGCTGCGGGTTTGGGTGCTTCCTGCAATGAATCCCCTTTGCCGCAAAAAGCATTTTGGAGGACATTCTAATGCGACACTTTAAGCAAACAAACGGGTTTTGGAGTTAAGCAAGTGAGCAACGACTACTGCTTTACTTGAATCGGCGAGATCGGGGAGGGAAGTCAAGAGCTGTGGGTCCAATAAGCATGTGTGTGTGTGTGTGTGTGTGTGTGTGTGTGTGTCTTAGTCGTCTATCTGGCCCAAGACACTTTGCAGCCCCAGGCAAAGGATAAGGTGGCAGCCTCCTCACATTCCATGCACAAAATCTGACTGTGTTAGCATCTGAATCTTACTTCCAATCTATAAAGGCAGCCTCCCCCCATCCTCCTCCTCACCAGAGGAAGGCAGGGATCTTTAGGGCAGGCCACATGACAGAGGCCCTGGTTCTGGAGGCAGTTGGAGGATGGATGGCGGCTAACAGATTGAGGTTGAATCCTGACAAGACAGAAGTACTGTTTTTGGGGGGAGAGGGGGCGGGCTGGTGTGGAGGACTCCCTGGTCCTGAATGGGGTAACTGTGCCCCTGAAGGACCAGGTGCGCAGCCTGGGAGTCATTATGGACTTACAGCTGTCCATGGAGGCTCAAGTCAATTCTGTGTCCAGGGCAGCTGTTTACCAGCTCCATCTGGTACGCAGGCTGAGACCCTCCCTGCCTGCAGACTGTCTCACCAGAGTGGTGCATGCTCTGGTTATCTCTCTCTTGGACTACTGCAATGTGCTCTATGTGGAGCTACCTTTGAAGGTGACCTGGAAACTACAACTAATCCAGAATGTGGCAGCTAGACTGGTGACTGGGAGTGGCCGCCGAGACCATACAAAGCCGGGCTTGAAAGACCTACACTGGCTGCCAGTATGTTTCTGAGCACAATTCAAAGTGTTGGTGCTGACCTTCAAAGCCCTAAATGGCCTCAGCCCAGTATACGTGAAGGAGCGTCTCCATCTCCATCGTTCTGCCCGGACACTGAGGCCCAGTGCCGAGGGCCTTCTGGCGGTTCCCTTGCTGCAAGAAGCCAAGTTACAGGGAACCAGGCAGAGGGCCTTCTCGGTGGAGGCACCCGCCCTGTGGAACACCCTCCCACCAGATGTCAAAGAGAACAACAACTACCAGACTTTTAGAAGACATCTGAAGGCAGCCCTGTTTAGCTTTTAATGTTTGATGCATTACTGTATTTTAATATTTTGTGGGAAGCCGCCCAGAGTGGCTGGGGAAGCCCAGCCTGATGAGCGGGGTATAAATAATAAATTTTATATATATATATATATATATATATATATATATATATATATATATATTACAAAACTAGGATAGTTCATGACACTCATAGATAAGGGTGCAAGAAGGCATCAATGTCTCTTCTGATCTGGGTTGGCCGCACACAGCTCTCTTTCAGTCCTGCTGCAGTTTGACTTCTGACATAAAAAAGCTACCTTATCTGCCTAGCTCCTGTGGTGGAATTGTACACACTTAACTAATGAGCAGCCTGCTGTTCCATTCATTCCTATGCAAAGGAAACACAATGCAAAACTGGAGGGCATAATAAATGACATAGAATCACAGAATTGTAGAACAGGAAGGGACCGTGAGGGTCATCTAGTCCAATGAGCAAACGCTGGCCATTTTTGCTCCTCTTTCAGTTGGGATTCTCAGGGTTCCCAGCTCATAATCCACCTTAGATTTTGTGATTGGAGTGAGCAGATTCCCCCCCCCTTTCTGTTGTGCTGCTGTTCCCTGACTTAGCTCTGCTCTGCAACTTTCAAAGGATGTGCGTGGCGCTGTGGTCTAAACCGCTGAGCCTCTTGGGCTTGCCAATCAGAAGGTCAGCAGTTCGAATGCCCACAACAGGGTGAGCTCCCGCTGCTCTGTCCCAGCTCCTGCCAATCTAGCAGTTCGAAAGCACACCAGTGCAAGTAGATAAATAGGTACCACTGTGGCGGGAAGGTAAACAGTGTTTCCATGCACTCTGGCTTCTGTCACAGCGTCCCGTTGCACCAGAAGCGGTTTAGTCATGCCGGCCACATGACTTGGAAAGCTGTCTGTGGACAAACACTGGCTCCCTGGGCCTGAAAGCAAGATGAGCACCACAACCCCACCTTTACCTTTTACCTGCATCTTTGAACCAGCTCTTTGATTTAACCCGGGGACATTCTTTAAGTGCACTTGTGCAGTTTGCTTTGGCTCTACACCTTTTTTCTCTCCCATCCAGGTGAATGACACAGGTAAGCACCTGGTGAAACTGCCCCAAAGAGGAGCCTAGTGTGATACAAGGAGGAGAGAGGACTTGATCTTACTGGAGATGTTCTGTCCCAGCTGCAGCTACCAGAAACCCAGTATGGCCAACATTGCATAGAAGATTTGTCGGTAATCATAAGAAGATCAGAGGAGCCAGACTGGGTCAAGGACAGAGGTGGCCAGAGGATCAAAAAGCCCTGCTCCAAACGAGGGAAAACGGCCTTTTAAAATTGCCTCCTGAGAGGTACAGAGAAAGTGAGATGGAGTCAGACATCGCCAAGGGACTGATTTGGCATTATCTGGCTGGGCTGGGCTGGCAGGAACACACCAAACCCCTGAAGGGGTAGAAAGCACACCCTAAATAATCAGCATGACTCAGGTGCGAGGAGGGCATTTAACCAGATCCTCCTTTCAGATCTTGGTTGGATGTTTGTTTCTTATTTTAATTCTCAATCTGGAGGGGGGGGCAATGGAGAGGCTGTAGCACCAAACCCACAAACTTGGCTCCCAGTGGCGTTTTCTCTTCCAACGTGATGGCAGCCATCTGCTTTCCTCCGCTGGGAGACTCGTGCCAGATTGACAAGCAAGACCGGGCATGCTCCGAATGGCATCGCCAATCCAGAACATCCTGGCTTCTCTCATCCCTGCACCCCGTCCAACAGAACAGATCCTTGAATCATCACAAAGTGGGGAGGAACCAAAAAAAGCCAACCAGCTCAGCCCCTTCCTCAACACACCAGCCCAGGATGTAATCGAAATTGAACCACACAGAATACCAGAAGGGCCTCCTAGATCAGGCTGCAGGGCCCATCTTCCCCAACATCCTGTCCTCACAGTGGCCAACCAGATGCCTCAATGGGAAAGCTTCAGGATTCGAACACAGCTCCCCACTCCTGTGGTTTTCGCCAACTGGTGTTCGGAAGCCTTTCTGCGTCTGACCATGGCGACACGGCATAGCCATCACAGCCAACAGCCATCAGTGGTATAAATCCACCACAAATGGTTTGTGGTCATTTCACTGACGTGTTGCACAAGACCCCCACAAAAACAATAAAGCAGTCTGGAGGGCTCTAACACTTCCTTTTCCTAGCCTGAAAACTTCTAACCAAGTTGGAGGCTGCTCTCATGTCCAGTTTGTGGCATCTGCTTGGCCACTGTGAGAACAGGATGGTGGATAGAATAGAATAGAATTAGAATTAGAATTTTATTATTACGGTCACAGACCAGTTCCGGCTCACTTACAATATCAGGAAAATCACAAAACACAACAGGAATACATTGAATTGCAATTGGGTATAACAGAGACCACCATGTAAGGATACCAGCTGAATAAATGACATACAGTTGCCACAAAAAATGGCAAACTCCAAAAGTTCTTCAGAAGACAACTGACAAAGACTAGACTTCAGCAAAGCCAACTTTAGCCTTCTAACATGGAATATCACAGGCTGGCCTAAAAAGACATCTGACCCGTCCTTTGTTAAATTCATCCAAGGTTATGACATCATATTTTTACAGGAGACATGGAGTACAAGTGAAATACCGTATTTTTCGCTCTATAAGACGCACCAGACCATAAGACGCACCTAGTTTTTGGAAGAGGAAAACAAGAAAAAAAAATATTCTGAATCCCAGAAGCCAGGAAAGCAGGACTCCAGCAATTTAGCTACAGGGACCACACATTTGCTCCATAAGACACACAGACATTTCCCCTTAGCTTTTAAGAGAAAAAACGTGCGTCTTATGGAGCGAAAAATACGGTAGATGTCAACGGTTTTTCCTCGTTCTACCTCTCAGGATCACCAAGAATAGAATAGAATCTTAGAACCAGAGAGTTGGAAGGGACCCTGAGGATCATCTAGTCCAACCCCCTGCAAGGCAGGAATATGAAGCTGTCCCATACGGGGATCAAACCCACAACCTTGGCGTTATCAGCGCCATGCTCTAACAAATGAACTAAGGATGTCTGGGCCTTTGGCCTGATAGGAACTTAAGAGGACCCTGTTGGATCAGACCATAGGGAGCCCATCTCACGAAGCATCCTGTGGCTGGTCAGATACCCTTCTGGGAAACCCCCAAGCAGAATTGGAGCCCAAGGGCCCTCTCCCCTCCTATGGTGCAGGAAACAATGATGGCCATTGACTTGGATGGCTTGAAAAGAAGATCCATCAATTCATGGAGGAGGAGGAAAGGGCAATCAATAGCTCTGCTCTGCCCCCATGGATGGAGGCAGCTTCTGAATCCCATTTTCTGGGGACCACGGGAGGCGAGAGCTGCTCTTGTGCTGGGATCCTGCTTGCTGGTTTCCCACTGGGGTATCTGGTCCTGCTCTGTAAGAACAGGAGGCCGGACTAGAGGGGCCTGATCCAACAGACTCTTCCTGTGTTCTTATCTTTGCATTGACCCCTGGCTGCAGCCCTCCTGCAGATGCTGTCAAAGGTTGACCCTGGAGCTTTTTGCATCCAAATAGGTCCTCTGGTGACAGCAGTCACGAAATTAAAAGACGCCTGCACCTTGGGAGAAAGGCGATGGCAAACCTAGACAGCACCTTAAAAAGCAGAGACATCACCTTGCCAACAAAGGTCCATATAGTTAAAGCTATGGATTTCCCAGTAGTGATGTATGGAAGTGAGAGCTGGACCATAAAGAAGGCTGATCGCCGAAGAATGGATGCTTTTGAATTAGGGTGCTGGAGGAGACTCTTGAGAGTCCCATGGACTGCAAGAAGATCAACCTCTCCATTCTGAAGGAGATCAGCCCTGAGTGCTCACTGGAAGGACAGATCCTGAAGCTGAGGCTCCAATGCTTTGGCCACCTCCTGAGAAGAGAAGACTCCCTGGAAAAGAGCCTGATGTTGGGAAAGATGGAGGGCACAAGGAGAAGGGGACGACAGAGGACGAGATGGTTGGATAGTGTTCTCGAAGATACCAGCATGAGTTTGACCAAACTGCGGGAGGCAGTGGAAGACAGGAGTGCCTGGCGTGCTCCGGTCCAGGGGGTCACGAAGAGTCGGACACCACTAAACGACTCAGCAACAAAAGGTCCTCTGTTCCCTAAGCCAGAACCTCTTCTCAGTGCTCAGGGCCATCTGAGCATCTCAGGCATGCCCATTAAGTCTTATACAATCTGAGCGTTGTCTCCACGCCAGCCCCAAATCTCTCACAATGCTATACAGTGGGGTGGAAGACTCTTAGATTGTGCACATGCCATCCTTGGGCCAGCGAGGCTAGAGGAAGGACAGGAATCCTGTATCCCTTCCAGCAAACGCAAGGACCTCGGCCAGCAAATTCTCCCCGGCCTTAGAATTTGTACTCTCTCCGGGGTGAATATTTAGAGCCCTCAAGGGCAGAGCAAGGAGAAAATGGTTTGACATGTTGCCTGGAAATAACCCTTGGGAGCGCCTTCGTTCTCCTTGCGCGCCCCCCTCCCTTGGGGACATCCATCCCTCCTGTAGCCAGAGGGAAGACTGCCACCTGCTGAAAAACAGAGTGAAACTCAGCTGCAGTCTTGCCTAATCCCCTGTCCAAAAACCAGCAGGCACCCAGCCTTCTCAAGAGCATGAGATCACTAGCCAAGGGCATTTTGGCTCTCCGTGAACAGCATTGCCTCATCCGTGGAATAATGGGTGGTACAGACTTCCCCATACTCTTTGGCTTACAAACCTCTCCATTCTCCCCCCCAAACACACACACACACACACACGCAAAAAGGATAGATTATTCTCTCTGACATAAGCTCATGTGTGAGTTGCCTGCAGCAAACACTCCTTTGCAGAGGTGGGACGCCATCTCTTCTCAAACATGGCAAGTCCGTAGCACATGTACTGTGCTTGTTCAGAGGGTCTCCCCACTGCCCCAAACTAGGCCTTAATCTACCATGGGGCATGTTGTACATTGTGACTGCAAGCTGGGTCTTGGGAGGTAGAGAAAGAACCCCAAAAATGATTCTAACCAGCTCCAAAGGACTTGTGTGATGACCAAATCTAATTCTTGGTTTTCTCTCATTTCCATATTTTCCCAGTCTTAAGTTCACTACTCTACACCAGTTGCCAATTTATTTATTTTTATTTTTTTAAAAAGCAAATTCAAAAGCACATTAGTGCATATTTACAGTAATAGTGTATACACAGGTTTTGTATAATTGCTATATGCACTTTTTGCAATGCAATTTCCCCTTATCTAATGCACTTTGCATGCTGCTTTCACTAATAGGTGCATTTATGTACACATTACTTGGTTGGAGAAGTGAACTGCAAAATTCAGAGAAGTGTGGATTTTGAAGGGTGGTTGTGCTTTGTTTCAGAAAGCGTGTAGTCTTGAACCCATTGGTGTTTTATACACTAACACCCACGCCAAGAGAGGCAGACTCTTGTCCCAAGGAATATTCAGAGTGTGTGTGGCCTATCTCAGTCTTAAACCCCTGGGGCAGGATAGGACCATCAGGTTACACCACTGCTGAAGGAGTTGCATTGCCTGCCAGCGAGTTCTGGGGCTAAAGACAAGGTGCTGGTAAAGGTAAAGGTAAAGGTACCCCTGACCATTAGGTCCAGTCGTGGCTGACTCTGGGGTTGCGGCGCTCATCTCACTTTATTGGCCGAGGGAGCCGGCATACAGCTTTCGGGTCATGTGGCCAGCATGAGTAAGCCACTTCTGGCGAACCAGAGCAGCGCACGGAAACGCCGTTTACCTTCCCGCCAGAGCGGTACCTATTTATCTACTTGCACTTTGACGTGCTTTCGGACTGCTAGGTTGCCACTATCCAAGGCCCTATATATACCTTGGGAACCAAGGAGAGCCTGCTGGCGAAAGAGGGACCATTCTAGTCTGGCATCCTGTTCTCACTGTGGCCAACCTGATGCCTCAATGGGAAATCCACAAGCAGGATTCAAACACAGCTCTCCCATTCTCTGATTTCCAGCAACGGATATTCAGAAGCATTGCTGCCTTCCATTGTTCAGGCAGAGCAGAGCCACCCTGTCTAGTACACTGATAGCTTTATCCTTCTTGAATTTATCTAATACATGTAGAGCAGGGGTGGTCAACTTCCAAGAGACTGCTAACTGCTCACATAGTTAAAAACTAGCAGTGATCTACCCCCTTTTGGGGGGTTCAGGAGTTTTTTTTTTTTAGGAAGGAAAGCCCTGCTTTGGGGGTTCACATAAAAGTTGTTGAGCTTATTTAGGGAAGAGGAAAGTGACGTTGAGCTTTTTTTTAGGAAGGAAAGCCCTGTTTTTGGTGGTTCAGGTCATTTTAGGGGTGCAGGGCAAAGATGTTGAGCCTTTTTTAGGGGAGCCAAAGTTATTTTACAGTAGCTTCTTTAGGGGGAGCCACTGATGTACCGGTGATCTACCACAGACCTCCAGTGATCTACCTGTAGATCACAATCTACCTGTTGGACGTGCCTAATGTAGAGCATGGGTTCGAGACCCACTGTGGGCAAAAAGATTCCTGCATTGCTGGGGCTTGGGGTAGGAGACCCTCATGGTCCCTTCCAACAGTTCTACGATTCTATGATTTTTCTTCTTTTCCAGAAGCCTCTAAACAATCTCCAGGTGCTGGGCAGATCTGCAAACCACTCTACCTTTGGAACCCATTTCCAGGTATGGGAGAGTCACTGCAAGGTCACTTGTGAGATGAGGCCAAATGTTTGAATAAGTTAATCTCTGCAGCATTCAGGGCTCCGCAGGTGTGCCAAGCTGACTGCTTCCGTTTCCATTATGTGAACAGGATGCCTTCTCCCCCTCTTACCTTAGCACAACACGGCCACAACAACCCCACCGGCTTGGCCTCGCCACTTGGAAACCAAGTTTGGGCACGTCCCGAGGAGAGTCAGTAAGAGGAGCCCAACTTTGGCATGCGGTGGGCAGAGCAATTTGGGAACAGTGACCTCAAGCCAATTCTCTCTCTCCCTCCCCTCCTTTCCACCAGCCAAAGGAAGCGAGAGATGGCTGGCATGGGGAGGGCGATTTTGCACAGCACTTGGGAAACATAGCTTAACTGGAACCCGCAGCTCAACTGGCCAGGAGTCTCAGGCTCCCCTTTGCTGTGTTAAACTGGAAGATCTTTGGGGCAGGGAATCAGTCTTCTGGGAGCATGTTAGTCTGTAATGTGCAGCAACCTGGCAATTGCTTTCCGGAAAGAGCATTATTTATATGCTTGCATTTTTGTTTGGTAAGCTGTTTTAAGCAACTTGTTTCTGGAGGGGAAAAGTTTATTTGTAAACAGATATGAATATATAAATGTCTACCAACAATGCTGGAATATTAAGACCAGAATTTCCTCTTAGCACATGAACCTGATTCTGCCTATTTCTTGGGGAGGGGCTACATTCCACATTGCACTATTATCAAACTATTATTATTATTACTATTATTACAGTCGTACCTTGCAAGTTGAACAGAATCCGTTCCGGAAGTCCGTTCGACTTCCAAAATGTTCAAAAACCAAATCACAGCTTCTGTCTGGCCGCAGAAAGCTCCTGCAGCCAATCAGAAGCCGCGGAAACCTCGTCGGACATTCGGCTTCCAAAACTAGTTCGCAAACCGGAGCAGTCACTTCCGACGTTCGGGAGCCAAAACGTTCAGGAACTAAGTTGTTCGAAAACTAAGGTATGACTGTATTATTACTACAACTTGTCATGTGCTTTGGATAGCTCAGTTGGTTAGAGTGCGGTGCTGATAACGCAAAGGTTGCAGGTTTGATCCCTGTATGGGAAAGCTGCATATTACCTAATGACGACTAAGTGACTTACATTTAAAACATAAGACCCTAATAAGAGCCTGCTGGGTCAGGCCAGGGGCCCCTCTAATCCAGCACCCTGTTCTCTCAGCACCCAACCAGAGGCCTGCAGGAAACCCCCTAGCAGGATTTGAACACAAGAGCCCTCTCCCATCCCGGGGCTTCCAGGAAATGATAGTCCTCTCCTCCATCAATTTGTCCAATCCTCTCTTAAAGCCCTCCAAGTAGCACTCCCCAGGCAGGAGGGTAAAAGCAGAGTCTTGTTTGTGCACTTGAAGATGTGCTGTGTCCCCCTGAAGAGTGCAGAGTGCAGAGACTTGCTCAAAACTGGGCATCTTCTGCGAGAGAGGATTGCCCCCAGATGCACACAGCAAAACGAAGCCTGGCATTTTTAAAACAAACAGGAAAGGAAGGGCCTTTTCAAACTGGGAAATGAAAAGAGCAGCCTGCAAAAATCACAAGGCGTTGGGTGTTGGAAGCGAAGGTAAGAAGCCTCTTCCACGACTGGAATGTGTGCTGTGTTCAAACTTGTCCGTGCCATTCACATGCAGCCATTCATAAGAACCTCGGCAATTATTTTCTTAAGGACCGTGTATTATGATGAAGATTATCTTTTTAATATATATTTTAAAAGCAAACCTCGTGATGCCTGGAACGGCGTATAATTACCGCATAACCCTAAACCCAGAAAACGTTGGGAGTGGAGCCTAGGAGAGTCTGCCCCACCAAAGTCTCCCTCCTCTTTTGCCAGGTCCATTTGCTTCGCCCACCGCTGAGTCTCCTTCGCTGGAACAGGGGAGTTTTGCCAGCTGCGTAGTCTCTCCAGAGGGAGCCTTTAACAAGGGAGCTGGAGGAGGCTCAGGGAAAGGCAACCAAATTGATTGAAGGGATGGAGAAACTCCCCACCAAGAGGAACGGCTACAACATTTGGGGCTTTTCAGTTTAGAGAAAAGGCCGGGCGGAGGAGACATGCAATGGGCATCCAGTGAAGAAGGATGCTGGAAGATTTAGGACAGATAAAAGGAAGTCCTTCTTCATAGGCCTCTCCTGGTATGCCCAGCGGAGGACCTTAAGGTCCACAAATGACAACACTTTGGAGGTCCCAGGTCTCAAGGTGGTTAGATTGGTCTCAACTAGAGCCAGGACCTTTTCAGTACTGGCCCCGACTTGGTGGAACGCTCTGTCACAAGAGACCAGGGCCCTGCGGGACTTGACATCTTTCTGCAGGGCCTGCAAGACAGAGCTGTTCCGCCTGGCCTTTGGTTTGGACTCAGTCTAACCCTTATGTTTCCCTCCCCTTATGGTCTTGATCTATGGGCTACTTTTAAAATGAAATTTTTCAATTTCATTGTTCCGCAAGGGACAATGACAATAAAGATATCGTAATCGTAATCGAGGCTGCATTTTAAATTGCATTTTAACCTGTATTTTAAATTGGTTTTCCCCCCTAATATGTTTTTACTGTTTTCACTGTAATTTTACTGGTGTTAGCCACCCTGAGCCCAGCTCTGGCCGGGGAGGACGGGGTATAATTTTTTAAATTATTAATTATTATTATAGAATCATAGAATTTTAGAGTTGGGAGGTACATCCAAGGGTCATCTAGTCCAACCCCCTGCAATGCAGGAATCTCAGCTGACAGATGGCCATGACAGATGGCCACCCAACCTCTGCTTAAAAGCCTCCAAGGAAGGAGAGTCCACAAAGTGATGCTTTAGTTGAGATCCATGCACTGCAGCGGGTTGGACTGGATGACCTCTGGGGTCCCTTCCAGCTTTACGATTCTGTGATTCCATGAACATTCAGGCTCCATTTCAGCAGCGCATATCAAAAGCAGGCTGGAGCCATCACAACCTCCTCCCTCCCCCCCCGAATAATCACGCTGACCACCCGCAGGTGTGTGCCTCACCTGTCCAAGGACTTCTCAGGAAAGGTGAAAGGGCCCAGGCAGATGCGGTTGATGTAGCTCAAGGGGACTCTCTGCAGCTCCAAGCACTTGAGCATGATGAAGTCGTATTTGCAGACCAGGAGGGCGGAGTCTGTGATGACCACGACACGCTCCTTCTCGTTGTTCCAGTGGTCTATCCTGGAGCAGGGCAAAGGAAGGAGGCCCAGCATAGTTCATTTATTGAATAAAGTTTATATACCACTATAACAGAGGAGAAAACCTCAAAGCCGTTTGCAAAACAAGATAATGCAATAAATTTTAGAAAATGCCACCATGTTTGAAAACGTGCAGAAAACTAGAACCGCAATAGAACAGGTGAAAACAAATTAAAACTCCCTCAAACTTTCTCAGTGTGGGTAGGCTTGCCCAAATAAGAATGTCTTCAGCGAGTCCAAAAAGCGTGCAGTGAAGGTGCAATGAAGGTGTCACTAAGCAGGGAGTTTCAAAGTGTTTCCAAAGTGCCAATTCCATCATTCCAGGTGCTCAGGTAGGAGCATATGGGGTAAGACGATCTCACAGGTAGACTGGTCCCAAGTAGTGAAGGGTTTTGTATACTAATAGTAACGCCTTGTTTTTTTGTTTTAAATGCTTTATTGGTTTTTTAAAAAGCAAACAAAAGTTTGTCCTGAGAAATAAAATCGGTAATAAGTGTTACATCCAATCACAATAAATTCTTCTTTCTTCTATAATGACTTCCTGTCACAACACCATGCATCTACTACTTATCTTGTCCATTTTGTTGTTGTTGTTGTTGTTGTTTAGTCGTGTCCGCCTCTTCGTGACCCCCTGGACCAGAGCACGCCAGGCACTCCTGTCTTCCACTGCCTCCCGCAGTTTGGTCAGACTCATGTTTGTAGCTTCGAGAACACTATCCAACCATCTCGTCTTCTGTCGTCCCCTTCTCCTTGTGCCCTCCATCTTTCCCAACATCAGGGTCTTTTCCAGGAAGTCTTCTCTTCTCATGAGGTGGCCAAAGTCTTGGAGCCTCAGCTTTACGATCTGTCCTTCCAGTGAGCACTCATGGCTGATTTCCTTCAGAATGGATCAGTTTGATCTTCTTGCAGTCTGTGGGACCCTCAAGAGTCTCCTCCAGCACCAGAATTCAAAAGCATGAATCCTTCAAGAGCCAGTGTGGTGTAGTGGTTCAGAATGGTGGATTCGTGATCTGGTGAACCGGGTTCGCTTCCCCGCTCCTCCACATGCAGCTGCTGGGTGACCTTGGGCTAGCAACACTTCTCTGAAGTCTCTCAGCCTCACTCACCTCACAGAGTGTTTGTTGTGGGGGAGGAAGGGAAAGGAGAATGTTAGCCGCTTTGAGACTCCTTCGGGTAGTAATAAAGCGGGTTATCAAATCCAAACTCTTCTTCGGCGATCAGCCTTCTTTGTGGTCCAGCTCTCACTTCCATACATCACTACTGGGAAAACCATCGCTTTAACTATATGGAACTTTGTCAGCAAGGTGATGTCTCTGCTTTTTAAGATGCTGTCTAGGTTTGTCATTGCTTTTCTCCCAAGAAGCAGGCGTCTTTTAATTTCATGACTGCTTTCACCATCTGCAGTGATCATGGAGCCCAAGAAAGTAAAATCTCTCACTGCCTCCAATTCTTCCCCTTCTATTTGCCAAGAGGTGATGGGACCAGTGGCCATGATCTTCGTTTTTTTGATGTTGAGCTTCAGACCGTATTTTGCGCTCTCCTCTTTCACCCTCATTCAAAGGTTCTTTAATTCCTCCTCACTTTCTTCCATCAAGGTTGTGTCATCTGCCTATCTGAGGTTGTTGATATTTCTCCCGGCAATCTTAATTCCAGATTGGGATTCATCCAGTCCAGCCTTTTGCATGATGAATTCTGCATATAAGTCAAATAAGCTGGGGCTTAATATACAGCCTTGCCGTACTCCTTCCCCAATTTTGAACCAATCAGTTGTTCCATATACCTTTGTTAATTTTCATTACTAACATTATTCTATAAATGTCCACATAATCACAGAAGTCATTCAAGGCCTGCTGTTGACGTCATATTACGACAGTATTCCTTAAGGTATTTTTTTGTACATGTCCCATTTTTTTATAAATGTTTGAGCACTATGACCTCTCAGTTTCCCTGTCACTTTTGCCAATTCAACGTACAACAGTTTCTAATTGTAACACCTTGATCTCGGGCCAGCAGCAGATCTCTGAGCCCAAGTGTTGCATGCTGACAAGGCCTCCCTCCTGTCAGCAATCGTGCTGCAACATTCTGCACTGACTGCAGCTTCTGGATCAATCCCAAGGGAAGCCCCAGATGGAGAGCATTGCGGCAATCCAGTAACCAATGCGCAAACTACGGTGGCCAGGCTCTCTCGGTCCAGGAATGGCCCTAGCTGTCAACACAGACCCGGTTGAACTTTGGCAGACCGAAGGAAGGAATGAGCTGTTAACATAGAATCACTGAATTGTTGAGTGGGGAGCGACCTCTCAAGGGTCATCTAGTCCAACCCGCTGCAACGCATGGGAAACGGGGATCTCAGAACAGCAGCATTTAGGTTTGTGTGTTGTTTGGGGGAGACTGAGTTAGGAAAGCTCACACAAAAAGAGGAGGCAAACTGAATTTCCTTCCCCCTCCTTGGTTGCACCAGGCTGGCAAATGGTGCCTTCCGGGCTCTGCGAAAACCATCTCCTCTTGCAAAATCTTTTTAATTTGATATAGCGGAAGAGATCTTTCATTCTGCATAATTAGCATTATCAGGAACAAATTTGCCAATTTGTGTCAGGAGTTCTGAGTTCCAACATGATTTGCCATTGGAGATTTCTAAGCAGAGGTTGGGTGATTATTCAGGGATCATTCAGCTGTGATTTCTGTGTTGCTGGGCGTTGGACTAGATGAGCCTTAGGGTCCCTTCCAATGCCAAGATTCTGCAATTCATTCTTTTTTTGCACCATCTAGTAAACCTTCACACCCCTGCCTCATTCACAAGGTCTTCATTCCTTCTTCTTTCTTTAAATGCTTTATTGGTTGAAAACTTTATAACAGAAATATGCAATAGAAGTTATAGGCAAAATAAGAAATGAAAAATGAACCATTATTCATTCTTTTACTAATACTTGGTTTGCATATCCATTTGTGATTAAATTTGACAAGACCTCCAATCTTCCCCTTGTGTTCCCGAATTAAGTTCCTTAAATACACGCTTAAGCTTTACTTTCTCTATGTTATTTGACTTATATAAATTTAATTTTATAAAATTATCCTACTTACACAACGAAGTTCAATCAAGACCTGCCAAAGGATTGATCTTTTGACAGTGTTCTTTCACATATGCTCTGCATATATCCCACTCTCTGATAAATTTTTCATTCCAGACTGAAAAACAATCTCCGTGCTGGATAACCAATTATCCCAAACCCCCCTGGATGTTTTTTTAAACCACAACATTCCTGTTTAGACAAACTACAAAGATGCTTAGAAAATTGGTGTGAATTTTAATCTAGTTTAGCATTTTCCATTTTTTGTATATTTTAAAGTATCGTTGCCAATTTTTCTTGATTTCCTTGTTTTATCTTTGAAGTTGGTGTTTTTCCTCTTTACAATCAAGAAGTGTGTCAATTTTGTGAAATAAATAAAATAAACGATATATGGGAGAATTCAGGCTTCACCCACCAGGGGGCAGTATTGAAACTGCAAAAAAGCAAATCCTGGTCAAATGATTCGCCAGGTATCTATACCATATACGATTCTTTTTATAGCTCTTTATAGGCAACTGTTTGAGATTTGCATGGCTTATAATTACATGGTCTCCGGAGAAAACAACATCTGCCAAGGTGTTCCTTCCAATCGCCATGTGTTGCCTTGAGGGATGGGTTGCTGTTCAGCGGCAACCGAGAAATTGTAATTAAAGCCACAACTTTGAGGACTTTTGCAGGAAGCATAAGGAGATTTTTAAAATCAGGAGGGATTGCTATTATTTATATATACAGCCCTGTCAGTTTGCATAGCTCTCTCCATAGCAACAGAAAAAATATTCACTATAATCTAAAAGAAAAATAGGTACAGTGGTGCCTCGCAAGACGAAATTAATTCGTTCCGCAAGTCTCTTCGTCTTGCGAGTTTTTCGTCTTGCGATGCACGGTTTCCCATAGGAATGCATTGACAAGCAGTTAATGCGTTCCTAGGAAACCGCCTTCAGACCAGGTCCGGGGACAGTCTGTCCCCGGACCTCTTCTGAAGGCTGGGGGGACAGGGCTTTTCTTCCCACCCCCAGCATTTTAAAAAACCCCGGGACAGCGGAGGACTTCTCCGCTGTCCGGGCGATCTTAAAATGCTGGCGGGCGGCATTTAAAATCACCCGGGACAGCGGAGGACTTCTCCGCTGTCCGGGACGATTAAAAGCCCCTGGGAAGGCAGGCAGGGGGACAAAGACTTTGCCCCCGCCAGCCTTCAGAAGAGGTCCTGGACCTCTTCTGAAGGCGGGCGGGCGAAGTCTTTGCTCCCCGCCTTCAAAAGCCCTCCGGGACAGGCAGGCAGGGGAGCAAGACTTCGCCCCCGCCCGCCTTCAGAAGGTCTTCCTCCCCCGCCCGGCCGGAGCACCGTTCCGAGCCGGGCGGCGGCGGAGGTCTTCCCTCCCCCGCCCGGCTCGGAGCACCGTTCCGAGCCGGGCGGCGGCAGGTGTTCCCTCCCCCCGCCCGGCCGGGCACCGTTCCGAGCCGGGCGGCGGAGGTCTTCCTCCCCCCGCCCGGCCGGAGCACCGTTCCGAGCCGGGCGGCGGCGGAGTGTTCCCTCCCCGCCCGGCCGGGCACCGTTCCGGCCGGGCGGCGGCGGAGGTCTTCCTCCCCACCGCCCGGCTCGGAGCACCGTTCCGAGCCGGGCGGCGGCGGCAGGTGTTCCCTCCCCGCCCGGCTCGGGCACCGTTCCGAGCCGGGCGGCGGGAGGTCTTCCTCCCACCGCCCGGCCGGAGCACCGTTCCGGAGCCGGGCGGCGGCGGCAGGTGTTCCCTCCCCCCGCCCGGCTCGGAGCACCGTTCTGAAGCCGGGCGGCGGCGGCAGGTGTTCCCTCCCCCGCCCGGCCGGAGCACCGTTCCGAGGCCGGGCGGCGGCGGCAGGTGTTCCCTCCCCCGCCCGGCCCGGAGGAGCCTTCCGAGCCCGGCGGCGGCGGGAGGAGGTGTCCCCGCCCCGCCGCCAGGCTTCGGAGGAGGTCCGAGGACAGTGGGGAAGACGCGCTGCGCTTCCCGCTGTCCCTGAGATTTCCCTATGGGCTGTCGTCTTGCGAAGCAAGCCCATAGGAAATTCGTTTATGAGCGCCTCCAAAACGGAAAACCCTTTCGTCTAGCGGGTTTTCCGTCTTGCGAGGCGTTCGTCTTGCGGGGTACCCCTGTAATGGTGTGCAGGGGAAGATGTCCTGGGAGGGAGGGGGGTGTTTGAAATGGTTGCAAAGCATGAGGAAATCAATGCAGTGACCCCACAGGTCTTATAACTTACAGACAGGTCTCTGCCCCAACCAGCTTACAAACGGTGTTTGTAGATTGGGAAGGGCTCAGTGGGAGTGCAATTTGGGGGCGAGTGGAAACAGGACCCCAAAATTCTCTACCTGCCTGATTTTCAGGAGGCAAAATTGAGGGTGCCATTTTGCGGACTAGTTCTGCAGCGGCAGCAGCAGGAAGAGAAGATTCTGGAAGGGTTAGAAAATGGAAGAGGGAAATTCTACACAGAAATCTCTTCTGAAAACCTTTGGCCAAAAGAAATAAGATTGTTAGTTTCCTAGAACCATAAGACGACACCTAGTTTGGTAGGGGATTTAACCTAGGGGATTTTCATTATTATTATTATTATTATTATTATTATTATTATTATTACATCCATGCCAACACGACCTTGCTAGGGGCCGCTCGGGACTTCGTGGAAAGCATGGCCTCCATGGGGCTGTCCCTGAATAGGTTTGGCCCAACTCATCGTCGCGGATATGCCTTAGACCTGGTTTTACCTCTATTGATGTGTGTGATCTGACACTAAGTAAAAGCGAAACGAAAGAAGTGCCATGGCCAGATCACTTCCTGGTGCAACTGGACTTCTCCGTGACCCTTCCCCTCTGCAGGGAGGTGGGACCGATTCGGATGGTCCGCCCCCGCCACTTAATGGATCCAAATGGTTTCCAGAGAGTAGTAGGGGATGTTTTATCCCATGTTGATGGCCTTTCAGCTGATATCCCGGTGACCCGCTGGAATACGGAGTTAACCAGGGCTATTGACTGTCTGGCTCCGAAGCGCCATCTCCGATTGCATGGAGCCCGGACAGCCCCGTGGTTTTCCACAGACCTGAGGGCAATGAAACAATCGCTGAGGCGGCTAGAGCGCCGGTGGTGGAAAACTCGTTTTGAATCGGACCGGATACGGGTTAGAGCTCAACGTTGAGCCTACCAAGTGGCGATAGCGACAGCGAAGAGGACCTTTTTCACTGCCTCTTTTGTATCTGCAGAAAATAGCAGCAGGAGACTCTTTCAGGTGGTTCGCAATTTAACAGAACCACCTTTGCCACTGGGGTCTGGTAAAGACCCCAAGATCTCCTGCAACTATTTTGCAAAGTTCTTTGCAGATAAAATTGCTCAAATTCAGGAGGCAGACTTTGCCTTGTTAACAGGATCGGAGTGGGGAAATGTCAGAGCGCTGTCTACTCAGGCTGTCTAATCAATTTCTACCTGTTACCTTCCTCTTCCCTCCCCATCCCTTTCCCCTTGTGTGTTGTGTCCCTTTAGATCAGGGGCCGGCAAACCTTTTGAGCAGGGGGCCTGTCCACTGACCTTCAGACCTTGTAGGGGGGCAGAGTACCGGGATCTGCCCGTACTCACATTCCTTCATGAGGTGGGCTCCGGCACAGCTTTTCATTCGTTGAGCCGCTGCGCAGCCGCCACCCACCCATTGGCCAGGGCTTCACACAGCTTTGCAGGCGATTGGCCGTGACTGGCGCCTGCCTTTGATCGCACTTCAAGTAGGACATTTTAATGTATTTTTAATCTTTGTTGGAAGCCGCCCAGAGTAGCTGGGGAAACCCAGCCAGATGAGTGGGGTACAAATAATAAATTATTATTATTATTATTATTATTATTATTATTATTATTATTGGAGGAGGCACCGCTGCAGTGCGTGAGAGGGAGGGGGGGAAATGGCAGTGCTGGGAAAAAATGGCGGCTGGGGAAAAAAGGGGGGGAAAGAACAGAACCCCATTCCCCACACTGATCCACGGGCCAGATCCTGAAGGCAATTGGGCCAGATCCGGCCCCCGGACCTTAGTTTGCCGACCCCTGCTTTAGATTGCAAGCTTGCGGGCAGAGACTGTCATGTTTTGATTGCACATAAGCCACTCTGGAAGCTTTTTCAGCTGAAAAATGGGACAAAGATGCTTCGAATAAATATAAATAAATAAGGAAGAGAGACTTACTCAGCCAGAAGCCAGAAGCTGTGGGCCGTTTCCCCCATGTTCGCTGTCACATGGGCCCTGAGGTCATCCATGGCTTGGTCAAAGGCTCCAGGCTGAAGAACAAAACGAGAGAGGAGATCACAGGAGAGAAGGAACAGAGGGAAATCATGCGTAGGGAAATAACAGGCATAGCCTGCTCTTTGTGCACCGTCGTAACCATTGAAGAAGAAGCGTTGAGCATTAACCAGAAACTCCAACTGAGGGCATGTCCCAGGGTGGGTGACAACCATTGCAAATTAAAAAACAAAACAGCTCAGTATAGTCCATACTGACTCACTATAAGGCAGCTTCCTATCTTCCTGGCTGAAAAAATATTCCTCACCCCTGTCTTAAAAGGTAAAGGGACCCCTGACCGTTAGGTCCAGTCGTGGCCTACTCCGGGGTTGCGGCGCTCATCTCGCTTTATTGGCCGAGGGAGCCGGCGTACAGCTTCTGGGTCATGTGGCCAGCATGACTAAGCCGCTTCTGGTGCACCAGAGCAGCGCACGGAAATGCCGTTTACCTTCCCGCCGGAGTGGTACCTATTTATCTACTTGCACTTTGATGTGCTTTAGAACTGCTAGGTGGGCAGGTGCAGGGACAGAGCAACGGGAGCTCATCCTGTCGCGGGGATTTGAACCGCCGACCTTCTGATCAGCAAGCCCTAGGCTCTGTGGTTTAACTCACAGCGCCACCCACGTCCCTCCAACTCTGCATTAACTGCATAGCAAAGATCTCAGTCCTCTGCCCTGGCTTCAAAATTCTACACACAGTGGATCATGGGTAGATTGTTAAAGCCACTTCCGAGCTGGAGAGGAGGTGGGGTTGTGGGCTTCACGCCCCTCCCCACGCATGCGGGGGCTGGGTCACAGCCCCCGCGATACTTGGGGAATCCTCAGACGTGTCATCCCCCGGCCAGCCAATCGGCTGGTCCAGGAGGCATGGCCCGTCCTATTTAGGGCTGGCACGGCCAAGGATCTCCCTCTTTCCACGCTCCAGCTGATCGGGTTTTCCCACCCCTCCCACCCGTTAGATTAGGCTCTCTGACCTTGCTATGGACTTTGGTTGGTCGCCATTAAGGGGCCTGGTAGGAATTTTTCCACTTGGCAAATTGGCACCAGCCACTTGGTTTTTCGCCTACCTCGTAGCAACCGTCACAACTTCCTTGGCATTGGCGGTTAGGCATTGGTAGGGGTATTGTTATGCAGATGAAAAAGGGGGGAGGAAGCGCCATCACCTTCCCCCCAAATCGAATGGCAGTCCGGTAAAGGATTCTGGGGGGCGTGGCCTTGTCCTAAGCCTATGGAGGTGTGGGCCTACGGCACGCCCCCGAGCGGTAACCCCGGGGGAGCTCCTAGTTCAGGGGTCAGCAACCCGCGGCTCCAGAACCGCATGTGGCTCTTTTACACCTTTGCCGCGGCTCCGGGGCGGATACTAGCGAGGGGAGGAGGCGCATTGTGCGCCCCGACACTCCCCACTGTGGCGGGCGCTGTACTGGCTGTGACGTCGCATGGGGGCGGTGCGTGCGTTAGTCACGCACCATCCCAACGTCACCTTCCCGCCCGCCCACTACATTGTAAGGGGCATGTACGCTGGTCACTGTTTTGAAGGGGAGTGAAGAACACACACACACAAAAAGGTAACTTGTTAATTTAATGTTTATTTCTATGAGGAGGAGTAATTCTGAGGGGTCAAACAAAGAAATAATAAAAAGTGACAAAAAAGTTATTTTTATAATGACGAGTTTTGCGGCTCCCAGTTTTTTTTCTTCAGAAATGGGTCCAAGTGGCTCTTTTTGTCTTAAAGGTTGCAGACCCCTGTCCTAGTTGATGTGCATCAGCAGGACTCCCCCTGCAGGTGGTTAACCCTTGCCAGTCTTCAAGCAAGCAGGCTGAAGCCCGTTAGTTGATAGGACCAATGCCTAAGCCAATACCGCTCAATTTCTGTAATCAATAAAGTTGTGGCCTAATTTGACCCATTAACCTAAAATTCTGGTGTCTCGTGTCTTTATTTCCGAGGGGGGAGGCGGGAACTCGCCACGCAACCCACCTGCCCCACCCGCCTCCCTGCAAAAAAAAAAGGAGACCATGCACGAGGGAAAGAGGCCCACCTCTGAAACGGAGGGCTCTTTCCTGCATTGCAGAGGGTTGGAATAGATGACCCTTGGGGTCCCTTCCCATTCGACGATTCCATTCCGTGCCTTTTCTTGCAGGACCCGCAACCCCTCCCGGAAATAAAAAGGGTCGACTCACCCTTGTGGCAAAGTATTTCCTTGAATCGTAGGGGTCGGCGTGAGGGCGCGGGTAGAGCATGGTCTTGGGAGCAGACGGCGGGAAGGATCCTGAATCCGGTTCCTGCGCGGTTCCAGCACCGGGATTTCCCATGCTCTTCTCTTCCAGATCCTGTTGCATCTCCACTGTTTTGAATTCTTGGTAGTTTCCACTGCCTGACATTCCAGCCGCCTTCGAAGCAAGCAGAGGCACCCAAAGGGTTAACACAGCAGCTTGCCCTTTGCCCACCTGCGCCAATAACAGATGCAGCTTAGGTCCAGATAGGACGACCAAGTTCCTCCATACATACCTGCCCAGGGCTGTGAAATCCTTGGGGGGGGGGACGCCCTTCTCTCCACCCCACCCCCCTCACAGGTATGCTGGGTGGGGACACAGGTGGAACTTTGGAACTCCCTTCCTAGAGATATGAGATTGGCTGCCTCCTTCTTGCACTTATGCCAACAAGCTTTGGGAAACTGACCACTTTTATTGAACGGGCTTGTTATGTACTGAGTTGAATAGGATACAAAATGCAGCAGTCTGATTGGTCCTAGAACAATAGGATCCAGAATGCAGCAGTCTGATTGGCCCTAGAACAATAGGATTCAGAATGCAGCAGTCTGATTGGTCCTAGAACAATAGGATCCAAAATGCAGCAGTCTGATTGGCCCTAGAACAATAGGATTCAGAATGCAGCAGTCTGATTGGTCCTAGAACAATAGGATTCAGAATGCAGCAGTCTGATTGGCCCTAGAACAATAGGATTCAGAATGCAGCAGTCTGATTGGCCCTAGAACAATAGGATCCAAAATGCAGCAGTCTGATTGGCCCTAGAACAATAGGATTCAGAATGCAGCAGTCTGATTGGTCCTAGAACAATAGGATTCAGAATGCAGCAGTCTGATTGGCCCTAGAACAATAGGATCCAGAATGCAGCAGTCTGATTGGCCCTAGAACAATAGGATTCAGAATGCAGCAGTCTGATTGGTCCTAGAACAATAGGATTCAGAATGCAGCAGTCTGATTGGTCCTAGAACAATAGGATCCAAAATGCAGCAGTCTGATTGGCCCTAGAACAATAGGATTCAGAATGCAGCAGTCTGATTGGTCCTAGAACAATAGGATTCAGAATGCAGCAGTCTGATTGGCCCTAGAACAATAGGATCCAGAATGCAGCAGTCTGATTGGTCCTAGAACAATAGGATCCAGAATGCAGCGGTCTGATTGGCCCTAGAACAATAGGATTCAGAATGCAGCAGTCTGATTGGCCCTAGAACAATAGGATTCAGAATGCAGCAGTCTGATTGGCCCTAGAACAATAGGATTCAGAATGCAGCAGTCTGATTGGTCCTAGAACAATAGGATCCAGAATGCAGCAGTCTGATTGGCCCTAGAACAATAGGATTCAGAATGCAGCAGTCTGATTGGCCCTAGAACAATAGGATCCAGAATGCAGCAGTCTGATTGGTCCTAGAACAATAGGATTCAGAATGCAGCAGTCTGATTGGCCCTAGAACAATAGGATTCAGAATGCAGCAGTCTGATTGGTCCTAGAACGATAGGATTCAGAATGCAGCAGTCTGATTGGCCCTAGAACAATAGGATTCAGAATGCAGCAGTCTGATTGGTCCTAGAACAATAGGATTCAGAATGCAGCAGTCTGATTGGTCCTAGAACAATAGGATTCAGAATGCAGCAGTCTGATTGGCCCTAGAACAATAGGATCCAAAATGCAGCAGTCTGATTGGTCCTAGAACAATAGGATTCAGAATGCAGCAGTCTGATTGGTCCTAGAACAATAGGATCCAGAATGCAGCAGTCTGATTGGTCCTAGAACAATAGGATCCAAAATGCAGCAGTCTGATTGGTCCTAGAACAATAGGATCCAGAATGCAGCAGTCTGATTGGTCCTAGAACAATAGGATCCAAAATGCAGCAGTCTGATTGGTCCTAGAACAATAGGATTCAGAATGCAGCAGTCTGATTGGCCCTAGAACAATAGGATCCAGAATGCAGCAGTCTGATTGGTCCTAGAACAATAGGATCCAGAATGCAGCAGTCTGATTGGTCCTAGAACAATAGGATTCAGAATTCAGCAGTCTGATTGGTCCAGAACAATAGGATCCAAAGTGCAGCAGTCTGATTGGTCCGCAGGAGCCACCCAATCCAGCTCCAGGTGGAAGTGAATCCACAACCTGATTGGCCTACAGGAGAATCCCGGAATTAGCCAATCAAGTGGGCCCATTGTGTAAATAATGTATATAAAGCAGACGTTCTGGGTGAACTTCCATTCCTCCTCACCACTATGAGCTGAATAAAGAGCATGAAATCCATTCTCGACTCCGAGCATATTTCAGGGCTGGTGCCCTCTCAATGTTTATTGGGCTTTTTAAAAATGATTTTTAATGTTTTTGGAGGATTGAAGCTCTTGGAAATCTTTACACCATGAGTAGGCAAACTAAGGCCCTGGATCCGACCCAATCGCCTTCTCAATCCGGCCCACAGACAGTCCAGGAACCAGCGTGTTTTTACATGAGTAGAATGTGTGCTTTAATTTAAAATGCATCTCTGGGTTATTTGTGGGGCATAGGAATTCGTTCATTCTCCCCCCCCCCCTTCAAAATATAGTCCGGCCCCCCCACAAGGTCTGAGGGACAGTGGACCGGCCCCCTGCCGAAAAAGTTTGCTGACCCTTGTACACTTTACACCTGCTTGTCTCAAGGTGAGATATAAAAAACAGCGCAGAAAATAGCAGCAAATTGATTAAATACAACAGACACCCAATGCATAGGCTAAAGTCATTGCTTCCCTCTGCCACCAGGTGAGCTGTTTACCTGCTGAGTCTTTTGTGCAGGTGCTCATGGCCAAGGCCAAGGCCCCTCCCCTGCTCTGCCTTCCGACAGCTCCTTATCGTTAATCTGAATTTGGAAAAGACAAACCTTCTAACAGAGGACTCTTTCAAACAGAGTTGTTGCAGCTGGCAGAAAGCCACAGCTAGTTCATCTCAGCCACTTTCTTTATGTGATCAAGCACTTAATTGGCTACCGTGGCTGTTGGCCTCTGTCTGTCTCAAGATAAAAATGGAGTGCTCCTCCGAGGGTGAAGTCAAACCGCTGTGTTAGCAGCACCCAAGTGACCTCCCCAGGGTGCAATCCTGGGCAGTGTGTGTGGAGGTCCTGGGCTACCCAGATGACAAGACCCCCCCCCCTCTGCCTGGCTGATGTAGAATCATAGAATCATAGAGTTGGAAGAGACCACAAGGGCCATTGAGTCCAACCCCCTGCCAAGCAGGAAACACCATCAGAGCACTCCTGACATATGGTTGTCAAGCCTCTGCTTAAAGACCTCCAAAGAAGGAGACTCCACCACACTCCTTGGCAGCAAATTCCACTGTCGAACAGCTCTTACTGTCAGGAAGTTCTTCCTAATGTTTAGGTGGAATCTTCTTTCTTGTAGTTTGGATCCATTGCTCCGTGTCCGCTTCTCTGGAGCAGCAGAAAACAACCTTTCTCCCTCCTCTATGTGACATCCTTTTATATATTTGAACATGGCTATCATATCACCCCTTAACCTCCTCTTCTCCAGGCTAAACATGCCCAGCTCCCTTAGCCATTCCTCATAAGGCATCGTTTCCAGGCCTTTGACCATTTTGGTTGCCCTCCTCTGGACACGTTCCAGTTTGTCAGTGTCCTTCTTGAACTGTGGTGCCCAGAACTGGACACAGTACTCCAGGTGAGGTCTGACCAGAGCAGAATACAGTGGCACTATTACTTCCCTTGATCTAGATGCTATACTCCTATTGATGCAGCCCAGAATTGCATTGGCTTTTTAGCTGCCGCGTCACACTGTTGGCTCATGTCAAGTTTGTGGTCAACCAAGACTCCTAGATCCTTTTCACATGTACTGCTCTCAAGCCAGGTGTCCCCCATCTTGTATTTGTGCCTCTCATTTTTTTGCCCAAGTGCAATACTTTACATTTCTCCCTGTTAAAATTCATCTTGTTTGTTTTGGCCCAGTTCTCTAATCTGTCAAGGTCGTTTTGAAGTGTGATCCTGTCCTCTGGGGTGTTAGCCACCCCTCCCAGTTTGGTGTCATCTGCAAATTTGATCAGGATGCCCTTGTGATCCAAAGGAAAGCAGAGCAAGGGATTTGTGTAGGATCTACTCCTTAGTCCTTTCTTCTCCTGAAGATGTTCCGCAAGGAAGCAGGCATGTGTTATGTATCCAGTGGTCTGCATTTGGCTGAGCTTGAGTCTGGACTAAGCAATCTGAGCTCCTGTGTTCTGATTCGATACATGATGTCCAATCACAGAACATTTCGGGATTTGGGCCTCTGCCATTGGCCGTTCAACTCTGAGTCGGGATTCGCGACTTGGAAGTTTAGGCAGCCAATCACGTTGGGAGTGGGAGTGGCCCAGGCTTCCAGGAGTGTATATAATAATAATAATAATAATAATAATAATAATAATAATAATAATATATTTTTTATATCCTGCCCTCCCCAGCCAAAGCCGGGCTCAGAGCGGCTAACAACGTTAAAATGATACAACATTCTAAAATCATTTCATTATAAAATCAATTCAAATCAGATTAATGGCAACCATTGGGCTAGAGTTCTGTGAGGATCGCCAAAGGAGAGGGTCAGGCTGTGCCCTGGCCAAAGGCCTGGTGGAACAGCTCCATCTTGCACGCCCTGCGGAAAGATATCAAGTCCCGCAGGGCTCTAGTCTCTTGGGACAGAGCGTTCCACCAGATAGGGGCCACGGCTGAAAAAGCCCTGGCTCTGGTTGAGGCCAGCCTAACCTCCCTGTGGCCCGGGACCGCCAAGATGTTTTTGTTTGAAGACCGTAAGGTCCTCCGTGGGACATACCAGGAGAGGCGGTCCCGTAGGTACGAGTTGCTTTGCCCCACTTCCCAGTTATGCAGTTCAATGAAGGTTCTTGTTGTTATCGCTGCGTCTTGTCTCGTGGGAACCCACCTATACTTCAGCATGGATTGTTCCTTGGGGTTTAATCCTGAAGTCTACACTCATGAATGGGTGTAGCAGCAAGGCAGCAGAGGTTTTCTGCTCCTAGATGGGTTCCCTTCCCAGGTGGACGAGCCCCATCTATCCCTCATTTTCCAGCACAGAACATGCAGAAACCAACTGCTTGACCATTGGACCTGTTCTTGGTCTCATCTGCTCAATACTCCACAGTCTGTCTTTGAATGCAGGGGAAGTCCTTAATTCTCTGATGGTTTGAGACCCATCGACTCCCCTCACCTGGTTTAGCCAGTCGGTCCAGGCCGTTTCCCAGAGATCCATCTACTTTTCATCCAGAAGGTTCAAATTCCCAGCATCTCCACTTAAAAGACTCGCAGGCACTACAGGTTGCGAATGACCTTTCTCTGCTGGGGACCACTGAACTTCTGTCAGCCAGAGCAGGCAGTATTGGGTTAGATGGGTCAATGGACTGGCTAAGAGAAAGGTGACTTCATGCAATCACGAGGTCTCCCATCCTGCCACTGACCATACCTGAGAACAGAGCTAGGCACCCATAGATGGGTGGGGCTGACCATTCTCTGCTAACAAACTGTGGCCTGAAATAGCTATCAGGGGTGTGGACCTCAGAATTGACTCAGCGATCGCCTTCCTGGGTAAACAAGGCCTTGCTGTTTGGGGAGAGCCAAGGCAAACTTAGTGTTTCAGGTGTCCACGGTCATGACAAGCTCTTCTCAGGCGATTTCGGTTCCAAGGTATTGGTACTAGGATATAAGGCCCTGTACGGCTGAGGACCAGGTAACATGAGAAACCACCTAAATACCCTGTAGGTCATTGCATTCTGCTGGAAAGTTTCCCAAATCAGAAACTTGCTCTACCCGAAGTCGGAGCAAGGCTCTCAGTGTGGCCTCCCCTGTTTAGGGGAACAGGGTCTACGTTGAGATACAACAGGCACCATAAAGACATAAGGAGAGTTTGCTGGATCAGGCCAGTAGCCCATCTAGTCTAGTATCCTGTTCTCACAGGGGCTGATGCCTCTGTTAGGAAACCCACAAGAAGGATCTGAGCACAAGAGCAACACTTTCCCCTTCTGTGTCTTCCAGCCGCTCACATTCAGGACCATCCTGGCTAGTAGCCTTCAAAGGTCTCGATACGATAATCTTTATTGTCATTGTTCAACGAAACTGAAAAAATCTACACCAGACATTCAAAAACCCACAAGCCTGCTATCCCAGCTATCCCAGCCTGGTTAACCCCCTAAAAACTCTGATACCCCATAATTGAATACAATATACTCCCACAGAGACTACCTTATACTGCATTTAAAACCAAAATCACATTTGGATAGAAACTGTTTCTCAGGCGGCTAGTCCTAGTCTTTATAACCCTGTACCTTCTTCCAGAACGCAGAAGCTGAAAGAGATCATTTCCGGCGTGCGCACTATCCTGCGCTATCTCTGCAGCTTTCTTATGGCACCTGGAAGCATAGATTTGATCCAAGGTGGGAAGAGTGCACCCAATTATTCTCTCTGCAGTCTTTACAACCCTGGACAGCATTGTTTTTTCCCTGACCGTGCAGCTCCCAAACCACACACACAGACCATAAGTTAATACACTCTCCACAGTCCTCCTCCTCCATGAATTTGTCTAAGGCTCTTTTTAAAAAAATCTAGGTTCATGGCCACCCTGCCTCCTGCACTGCATGAAAAAGGACTTTCTTTTCTGCGCTTTCTAGAAAGAATTTGAAGACATTTCCCCCCAAAAAAGCTTTTCCAACTGGTCACCTCCTCTAGTGGTTGTTGTTTGCACTGTTTTCAAAACTGTTTTAGCTCTTTTTATGGTATGTTTGCAAATCACGTGGAGACACATGTCCAAGGCAATCCGTGCATCTATTTATTTAACAGCCCCAGCAAATATTTTCCATTGTGTAAATGACCCACCCCTGAGCAGGATCACAGAATGAGCTTCCATCCTGGACCTCTTCTGTTCAACTGAGCCCTCTCTGCTCACCTGGCAAGGTACACCGCACATGCTCAGAGGCACTGTCACCTTTCCTATTGTTTTCCTCCCCTTAGCAGAGTCCTGGTATCAAAAGCGTGTTCTGGTGCCCAGCCTCAACTCCGGCCCCTTCCGGCTGCATTATACCCATTTCGCACATTCACATCCTGGGCCTGAGGCCACTCCTTAGAGCAAGCTAAACCAGGCTTTGAGCAAAATCTCTTTGAGGCACATGATGAAGCCTGGCTGGCTGCATGCCATTTATTTGGACCCCTCCATAGACGGTGCCCCTCCATCGCTCCCCATCAGACCCCAGCCACCCCTGCCTGCCATTCTCCGCATCCTCACGGAGTTCACCTTCAGCCAACAACCCCCCTTCCCTTGCAAAGCGTCTCAGCATCTCCCTGGCATCCTTTTGTGGGCTCTTGCTGCAAAGTCAGAGTGACCTCTGCCTGCAGGCTCTCCTGGCACTGGCTGGGACCCCGGAGGGGAAACACTTAGCAATATTGCCTCAGGAGGGAGAGCCGCCTCACTGCCATTAGCTAATATTCAATGTCCCAGAGTTTGGCAAGGCTGAGCTCTGCAGGAGGCCAGCGGCCGGCCAGCCGGTGGAAGGGAGCAGAGCTCAGAAGAGAAGAGGAGGCAATTTGGATAGCATGGCTTGCGTCCCCGTCTCACCAGTTCCGGAATTGTAGCTTGGGATATACACTGGGATTTTTCCCCCTCCGCCATTTTGCATCCGAATAATGTAAGGACAAGAATGAGAATTTGCTGGCTCAGGCCAATGGCCCATCTAGTCCAGCATGCTGTTCTCACAATGGCCAGCTAGATGCCTCAGTGGGAAACCTGCAAGCAGGATTCGAACACAAGAGCAACTCTCCCTTCCCGCAGTTTCCGGCAATTATTCAAAAGCATCGCTGCAACCGTAGCCATCGGCAGCCCTCTCCTCCTCCCTGAATTGGTCAAACCCTCCCTTAAAGCTATCCAGGGTGGTGGCCATTGCTGCCTCCTGTGGCAGAGAGTTCCACAGGTTAACTATGCACTTATTCCTGCATTGAAAGGGGGTTGGGCTGGATGACCTTTGGGATCCCTTCCAACTCTACGATTCTACGACTTCATGAAGAAGTATTTCATTCTCAGATATCTTTGAGTTCTTGCCTTGTGCAACAAGTCCCCCACACCCCATATCTGCTCTTGGTCTCCCTCCAAGCCCTCCACATGCAGGAGAAGCAGGAAATTTCCATCGCCCAGGTGGAAATCTTTGTGTTGACAGCACAATTTGCTTTTTCTCCCAACAGCCCTTGGCCCAACCTGGAATTATTATTTTTTTGCACGATCTAAGTCTCTCTGTACTCAGTTTAGGTTGGCTGCAAGCGTCAGACCTTTCCACTATCCTCAGGTTTTTCTGCCCTCCCTCCCACATGCCATCTTAAAAAGCCATATTGTTTCCTTTAATATCCAACCTCAAGGAACCCCAATGCTCGCCTGATATTTTTTGCTGATCCCAAGCAAGCTGTGACTCCGCTGTGACTTTTGAATTCTTCCTAATGGAGCAACACAGCTCACTAGACAATTTTTTTGTAACTTCATCGCTTAATCTGCTTCCTCTCAGATTAAACTACCTCACAGTTTGGTTGTGAAGCTCAAATGAGATAATTCAGTTATAAATAAATGGGGAGGGGAGAGAGAGAAGGCGTTGCATGATATTTGGGTATGGATTCTCCCCCGACCAAAAAAGTATCGCTATTATATTCTCACATCCACCCTGTGAAGCAGGCCAGGCCAAGCGTGTCAAGTGTGCTGGCCTACTCAGCAAGCAGCTGTTTCGGACTCGGAGCAAAATCTGCAGTGTCCTGAACACACACACACACACACCATCTCTCAGTGCGGAGACAGTGTGGTGCAATGGTTACACATCACTTGGGAAGACAGGTGAACTAATACCAGTGTACCGGAAGAAGCAAAGATCACCAGAGTTGAAGCAATAATTCTTCAACATCAACTTCGTTGGACTGGTCATGTTGTGCGGATGCCTGATGATCGTCTTCCAAAGCAACTACTCCATTCCGAAGTTAAAAATGGAAAGCGTAATGCTGGTGGTCAACAAAAGAGGTTGAAAGACTGTCTCAAGGCAAATCTAAAAAAAAAATGTAGTATAAACACCAACAATTGGGAAACACTTGTCTGCGAGCGCTCCAATTGGAGAACAGCCTTTACCAAAGGTGTCATGGGCTTTGAAGACACTCGAACCCAGGACGCAAGGGAGACACGTGCTAAGAGGAAGGCACCATTGGCAAACCCTCACCATGATCAACTCTCGCCCAGAAACCAATGTCCCCACTGTAGAAGGATGTGTGGATCCAGAATTGGCCTCCACAGTCACTTACGGACTCATTGTTAAAACCGTGTTTATGAAAGACAATCTTACTCCGCTACGAGGGATCGCCAAAGAAGAAGAAGGAGAGTATCAGATGAAGATGTGGGAGACCAGGGTTCGAATTCCTGCTCAGCCACGAAGCTCATTGGGGTGTAACCTTGGGACAGCTCCTCATTCTCAGCCTAACCTACCTCACAGGGTTGTCGTGGGAGGAAGAGAACAATGCATGCCGACTGCGGCTCCTTGGAGAAAAAAAAGTGGGATAGAATTGCAATCTTTCTTTCTCTCTCAATCTCTCTCTCTCTCCCACACACAAATTCACACACCTCTTCTGTTGACAGCACCACAACAGCTTCACCTTTCCAAAGGAGAAGCTTTTATACAGTAACTGCAAGGAGAAGAGACCCCCCGGCTGCCCTTACCTGTGTCAGGTGCGCAGCAACTTCTCTGCACGGATCTGCAGCGGGACAAAGGCTCAGGTTACCTGCCCAAACTGCCCTGCCGGGTCAGAGAAGCCTGATAAGGAAGTGCAAACAGTGGCTTGCTGGGAGACGGGGAGGCTGGCCAAGGTGTTCCCACGTAGGCAGGTGTCAGGGGAGGAGGGCTGGATCTGCCCCCTTTGTTATCGAGGCCACACAGGTGCGGAAGAAGTCCTCATTGGCACCTGGGTTGGGAGAGGGTGGAACCCCGGTTCAGTTTGCACCTGTTTGGTTTGCAAGGTGCAGCTCTGGGTGGAAGAGAGGCAACACCCTGAGCCGAAGAAGATAAAAATGGGGGTGCTTGCATGGGGTTTCTACAAATCTTCCAAGCAAGCATATGCTTTTGCAATTATTAATTAATTACAGTAATGAGATTTGCGGGTGTGGGGCGGAATATAAATTGAATTAATTAATTTTAAGGTAATTCATGACATACAAAGCAATATAAAAACACAAAATGCACAATGGAAATAAAAACAGCCCAAATATCCCTCCTGCCTTGCCGAAGCCCTGTTTCTCTGCTTGCCAGAAATTCAACTTGGCAAGTGTGAAGTAGCGCCTCTGAGCATGCACAAAGCACCTTTCTGTTGCCACATCAGACCATGGCTTGCAAAAAGAGCATGGTGCTTCCCCCTGTGCTCCCGGCCCACAACTTTGTAAATGTGTGTGAAGGTGTCGTGCCTGGAATAAACCTCTCCCCACCACCCGACGGGGAAGCTGGAGCGTTAGCTGTTCTTACCAAGGTTTAAGGGAGAATTGCATGCAAATGATGGGAGTGTTTGCAACAGTCAGTCGTAGCAGAGTTCACAGGCCACAGGCGCATTCCGAGTGTGAAGGAACAGGATTGCCAACTTTAGTTTTCATGACCAGTAGCTGAGCCCTTTGATGGTATGCTTGTTGTTTGTTTGTTTGTTGATTGGTTGGTTGGTTGGTTTTTATTATGGCTAAACAGCCAGCATGCATCCTTTCAAGGTAAAGGTCGCAGCAAACTTCAGCTGCCCATTCCTGAGCAATAGGCTTTGGTTCAAGGCACAAGAGCACTCCAGGTCTTCCCTATGGCAAAGTTGGCAACCTGCCCAGGCAAGCAGCAGTAGAAGGACAGAGGGTCATTTAGTCCAACATTATGATGGAAGATTGGGAAAAATTACGGAAAACTGACTTAAATTTTACAGATTGTTCCCTACTGAAGGAGAATTACATGAAGATGATGTACAGATGGTACACAACACCAGTGCAGTTAGGGAAAATGTAAAAAACTAGATAAAATATATGTTGGAAGCGTAAGGAAAAGGAGGGGACATTTTATCATATGTGGTGGGATTGTAAGGTAATTTTTTAAAAATGGGAAATGATATACAACGAATTGAAGATGTTCCATTTACCATTTGTTAAAAAACCTGAAGCATTTTTGTTGGGGATTGTAGGGAAAGACCTGCCAAAAAAGTTGAAAAACATCTTCATGTATGCGACAACGGCAGCGAGAGTCTTAATAGCACAAGGATGGAAGAACAAAGAAACCCCAACTAAAGAATCATGGCAAGAAAATTGATGGACCATGCAGAACTGGCAAAACTGACCTATAAACTACGGGACAAGGATAACTGTGACTTTAAGGATGAATGGGAACCCTTTACAAAGTATCTGAAGATGCAACAAAGCGAACTGGACTCCTTGGCAGGTTTTGAATAAACATTCACAAACTTTTTATTGATAACAATCAGCTAAATCGTTTGAGGATCTATACAACTTTGTAACATGCAGAAAACAGCATTTTTTGAGAAATCAAAGACTGGAGCTGAGGGAAGTCGGGCGGTGGGTGGGTTTTGTGTGGGAGGGGGGAGGGAGGAAAAATGGGGGGGGGACAAGAATGATATGTTTTTGGATAATATGTCTTGTTATAATTTTGAATAAAGAAAAAATTTATTAAAAAAAAATTAGTCCAACCCCCTGCGATACAGGAATCTTCGGGCCAACGTAGGGCTTGATCCCACGTCCCTGAAATTAAGAGCCTCATGCTCCACCGACAGAGCTATCGCTGTAAACGTGCATTTTACGCCATCGCCATTTTGAACACATCCAAAATCAGTTGATGGTGGTGGTTTGTTTTTTTTTTTTAAAAAAAACACTTTTCTTGTATTTTGTTCATTTCATAAAATTTATATACCACTTGCAATTTTTAAAAAAGCTTCAAAGAATAGAGGAATAAAAATGTTAACGTTTTAAAAAAATTAACCAGAAATGAACTAAAAACACATCAGTGTTCCAAGATATCTGGGAATTCTGGTCTAAGCCAAAATGTTTTTAGCAGACAGGGGAAAGAGTGCAATGAAGGCACCTTCCTGATATCAAGAGGCAGGGAGTTCCACAGTTTAGGTGTTGCCACACTGAAGCATAGATGCTACTGTTTGTGTAATGTATTTATTTGTTGTTGTTTTTTACACCACTTGAGTATTTTCACGATTAGTGGCCTAAAAGAATTGTGAAATAAACAGATAACTTTGGCCTGCCCCAAACACAGGGCTCACCTGCCTCTGGGGTGGCCAGGGACTAATCTGCACAGATTCCCCTCTAGGGAAACCCTCTAAGGGGATGGAGGAGCAGTTGCAGAATTTGGGACCTTCCGGATTAGAGAAAAGGTTGTAAAAGGGGGAGCAAGATCTTCTGGGGTGTTCGTCCTGTGAGGTTGCCCCCCCTCCCCCATATTATGCTCAAGTTCTACATATGTGCAAATAAAACCAGATATCCTAAAGACTCCACAGTTTCCACCAAGGTTCATTCCAAGGAAACTGGAATCTCAGCAATTGCCTGGAGACCCCGGGGTCTCTCACCGCTTAGAGATTGGGGGTGGCTTGTAGCAATAGGAAGGATTTGCACGCCTTATATGCATTTATAGACACTTATTTTACATGCATCTGCACTCCCGGGTTCCTAAAGCAACCAGCACATAAACAGATACATACAACAATATATATATAAAAACGTATAAAAATACTTAAAGGTAAAGGTACCCCTACCCGTACGGTCCAGTCGTGTCCGACTCTAGGGTTGCGCGCTCATCTCGCTCAAGAGGCCGGGAGCCAGCGCTGTCCGGAGACACTTCCGGGTCACGTGGCCAGCGTGACGAAGCTGCTCTGGCGAGCCAGCACCAGCGCAGCACACGGAAACGCCGTTTACCTTCCCGCTATAAAGCGGTACCTATTTATCTACTTGCACTTAAGGGTGCTTTCGAACTGCTAGGTGGGCAGGAGCTGGGACCGAACGACGGGAGCTTACCCCGTCGCGGGGATTCAAACCACCGACCTTGCGATCAGCAAGTCCTAGGCACTGAGGTTTTACCCACAGCGCCACCCGCGTCCCCTATAAAAATACTTAGCTATTAATAATTATAATTTATGCTGCAGAAATACAGAAGAGAATGAGGCTTGAGTCGTTTATTTGCATTGCATGCATAATTTTGCATATAACTAGCAGGGCTTTTTTTAAAAAAAATGTTTTTATTAAAGTTTTCCAACAAAGTTTAACATATTCAATACTAAATTTTAAAAACCCACAAATTACATTTTATATAAACTTCCCCCAACTTCCCTTTCTGGTTTATCACATATTCATTTCTTCTGCCTATAATTTTATATACCTTATATATAGAAATTAAGATTGCACCTTATTAACATTTTCTTAACATTCCCCCTTCATATTTATATTTTCTGTTTATATTAATTGATTGTGTCTTAATCAAATCCTGCAAGGGAGTTCTTTTCAGTGCATTGTTTCTCTATATACATCGTGAAAGGTTCCCAGCTTTTAACTAGCAGGGCTTTTTAAGAACAACAGCAGCAACAACGACCAAACTCATTTAGAATCAGAGAGTCCTAGGGTTGCCAAGGGCTCATGGTGGTCATCTATCCCAACCCGCTGTGATTCTGGACTCGCACTCGAACTATTCGGCCAGGACTTGCAGAATGCAAGCTCTGTGCTTGCTAGTTGCACGCCTGAAAGCAGTGCAGCGCTGGGCAGGTTTGCTGTGAATGAAAAGGACTCATCTGCCCTGAGCTCTCTGCTTTTTTTGTGAATTGGCTGAATGTCTTTGTATTGACCTTTCCTTTAAGTCTCAATACCTTGATGTGTCCAGAAGATGGCAGCAGACGGCTGCCCAGTGGCTGGTGTGGATATGGAGGGGAACCTGGTGATATATTTCATTCCTTGTTCTTTAAAAAATGAGGAGGGCTGTTAGAGGCATTCTTGACCCCTTCCCCATTTAGATCCACTGGGCCTCCAGGCAGACCCCTCCCCACCTCAGCGATCCTCTTCCTTGCCCGTCCCAAACACTTGTTCCTTCCTAAGCATCTAGATTTTTCCAAACTGAAAACCTGTAGCCAAAGAACAGATGGCACCCGGACAGAAACTTTATGACTATCGATCGCTGCTGGCAAAAGGGAGAGGTCTGGGACTCTGGCAAGGAGTTTTTGAGAGATGGGCTGACTTATCAATGAAAGGATAAATGATGTGAGTTGCTCAGTTTCAGCTGCTGCTGGGCAGCCTGCAGAGAAAAGGCCAGGTTTTGCGCCTTGCGAACAGGCCTGCAGTTCTGTCTGAGTGGAGAAAAGTGTGTGTGTGTGTGTGTGTGTGTGTGTGTTGGAAATTGTTGTTGTTTAGCCGTTTAGTCGTGTCTGACTCTTCGTGACCCCCTGGACCAGAGCACGCCAGGCACTCCTGTCTTCCACTGCCTCCCGCAGTTTGGTCAAATTCATGCTGGTAGCTTCGAGAACACTGTCCCACCATCTCGTCTTCTATCGTCCCCTTCTCCTTGTGCCCTCCATCTTTCCCAACATCAGGGTCTTTTCCAGGGAGTCTTCTCTTCTCATGAGGTGGCCAAAGTCTTGGAGCCTCAGCTTCAGGATCTGTCCTTCCAGTGAGCACTCAGGGCTGATTTCCTTAAGAATGGAGAGGTTGGATCTTCTTGCAGTCCATGGAACTCTCAAGAGTCTCCTCCAGCACCAGAATTCAAAAGCATCCATTCTTCGGCGATCAGCCTTCTTTATGGTCCAGCTTTCACTTCCATACATCACTACTGGGGAAACCATAGCTTTAACTATACGGACCTTTGCTGGCAAGGTGATGTCTCCTGAAGCTGAGGCTCCAGTATTTTGGCCACCTCAGGAGAAGAGAAGACTCCCTGGAAAAGACCCTGATGTTGGGAAAGATGGAGGGCACAAGGAGAAGGGGGCGACAGAGGACGAGATGGTTGGACAGTGTTCTGGAAGCTACCAACATGAGTTTGACCAAACTGCGGGAGGCAGTGGAAGACAGGAGTGCCTGGCGTGCTCTGGTCCAGGGGGTCACGAAGAGGCGGACACGACTAAACAACAGCAGCAGCAGCAACAACTAGTTGAGCTAGGAGAGGCACTGGGGACACTGGCAGCGGGCTGATGTGAGTTACAGTTTGAAATGTCTGGAGGGCACCAGGTTAGTGAAAACTGGAGCGGACAATGCCTGGCTAGACCGGACTCCTGCTCTTTGACTCAGCATGACTCAGCGTCACGAGTTCGTCTCTGTCAGGTTTTCGTGAATGAATTGCTTCTGGCAATGGGGAAAGCTTCCTGAGTTCTTGTGCAACCTGCTCTCTGCTGCTATTGATTCCTCTCGGATATATGGCCTCCTCTCTGAGAGACGATGCCTGGCACGTTGATCGGGGGCAAACCACTCTGGGATCAGCTCCCCTCAAAATCAAGATCCCTGAAGCTACATCCTAGGCAGACTTAGCTTCCAGGAGTCAGTCTCACGTAACTCAGAGGGACCTGCTTCTGTCAGCCTCCGTCAACCTTGAACCCTCCAGAAGAGAGGGCAAAAGACCTGTAGGTTGCCAGGAGTAATTTCTGCATCATCATCGTCATCATCATTTATTATTTGTACCCCGCTCATCTGGCTGGGTTTCCCCAGCCACTCTGGGCGGCTTCCAACAGAATATTAAAATACAATAGTCTATTAAACATTAAAAGCTTCCCTAAACAGGGCTGCCTTCAGATGACTTCTAAAAGTCTGGTAGTTGTTGTTCTCTTTGAAATCAGGTGGGAGGGCGTTCCACCAGGGTGGGTGCCACCACCGAGAAGGCCCTCTGCCTGGTTCCCTGTAACCTTACTTCTCGCAATGAGAGAACCACCAGAAGGCCCTCAGCACTGGATCTCAGTGACCGGGCAGAATGATGGGGGTGGAGACGCTCCTTCAGGGATACTGGGCCGAGGCCGTTTAGGGCTTTAAAGGTCAGCGCCAACATTTTGAATTGTGCTCGGAAACGTACTGGGAGCCAATGCAGATCTCTCAGGACCGGTGTTATGTGGTCTTGGCAGCCGCCCCTAGTCACCAGTCTGGCTGCCGCATTCTGGATTAATTGTAATTTCTGTGTCACCTTCAAAGGTAGCCCCACGTAGAGCGCATTGTAGTAGTCCAATTTCTGTATTTATTGATTGTGTTTCTGTCCCATCTTTTTCTCTAAGGAGCTCAAGGTGGCATACAGGGTCCCCCCCCCCAACTTCCTCCTTCGATCTTGACGACAAGGTAGACTTAGAAAGTTGGTGTGAATTGTAACCTGTTTCCATATTTTTCCATATGTTTGAAACTGCTGTAAATATTTCTCAGAATCATAAAATCACAGAATCAGTAGAGTTGGGAGGGACCACGAGGGTCCTCTAGTCCATCCACCCCCTTGCAGTGCAGGAATCTTTTGCCCAACGTGGGTCTCAAACCCAGGACCCTGGGGTTAAGAAACTCATGCTCTTATCAGCTGAGCTACGGAGATGCTATCTTACTGATTTATCGGTTTGTAAACCACTTTGCAGTTTTGTTTTTTTACAATCAAGAGGGGTATAAATTTTATGAAATGAATAAATAGCTTAGAGCTGAAAAGGGCAGTGACTGGTGCAAAAGTGAGAGCTTCATAGCCAAGCAGGGATTCAAACTCGGGTCTCTCCCAGGTCCTAATCTGAGATGGAATCTAGATACGTATAAAAAACACTGTAAGAATGCTTTTTTTCCAAAAAAAAAAAATGTGTGTGTAACTGAATATATATTGAATTTGCCTTAAGCTCATCATAGCCATCTAGTGCCACATTTGTATAATGCACTTAAAACACACTTAAAACATTTCATTTGCAGTTGTATAGCTGAGTCCTGACACTCTAACCACTAGGCCGCACTGACTGAGGTCCACTGCATTGGATCCTTCTTTCTGGCAGTGAGAAGGAGACAAGGAGGGCAGGATGCATGCCAGTTCATTATTATCAAGTAAGAAAAGATGTAAGCTGATCTCACCTCTCTCCCTCTCTCTCGCTCTCACACACAAACCTTCCTTCTTCTGCTCAGTTTGCCAGAAGATTTTGTTCCCATTGCAAAGGCAGAGAGCCAACATTATTTGTATAAAGGCTCGAGAGATAAGTGCAGGTTAAACAGGGTGAAATATGTCCACGTCAGAGAGGAGGTTTATATCCACTTCCATTTATTAAGTGTGCAAACCTCTGACATGCCACTCAAAAGCTGAGTCGGAATATGCCCCCTGCTTTTTTCTATTAGTGGGCTCCTCCAGAATCCTGATTTGCTTGCACAAAACTTACACGGTGCACAAACCATGTCCGCTCTTTATTGCTTGTTAAACTATGGAACTCACTGCCACAGGAGGCCACCAACCTGGGTGGCTTGGAAAGAGGACTGGGCAGTTTCATAATGGAGGAGACGGCTATTGATGGCTACCAGGCGCCAATACTTCAGAAAACTGGAAACCACAGGAGGGCTCTTGTGCTAGAATCCTGCTTGTGGGTCTCTCCAATGTTCTCGTGACGTTCTGATTTGTTTATGGGGCAGTTACACAACAAGGAATATTTCATCCTGAATTGCTTTCAGGATGTTGGCCTGTCTTCCCAATAATCATTGGTTCATCCCACACTTTGCAGTGTCTGTGTCTGTCACCCTCTTAACCAGAAACAGGAGTGTGCGTGTTTCATGTGGATTTGTTGCACCGGGGCGAAAGAGCCCCTTAATCCACTTTAACTGTGCAGACCCAAAGATTATTTGTAAGTATTTATTGCATTTCTTTCCCAGTCTTTTCTCCAAGGAGCTGAAGGAGATAGAGAGGAGCCAGGTTCAAATATCTCCAGGGCTGTCCCATGGAAGATGGAGCAAGCCTTGGCCCAATAGACCTGAAGGAGCGTCTCCACCCCCATCGTTCAGCCCGGACACTGAGGTCCAGCTCTGAGGGTCTTCTGGCAATTCCCTCCCTGCGAGAAGCAAATCTACAGGGAACCAGGCAGAGGGCCTTCTCGGTGGTGGCACCCTACCGTCAGATGTCAAAGAAATAAACAACTATCTGATGTTTAGGAGACATCTGAAGGCAGCCCTGTTTAGGGAAGTTTTTAATGTCAGATATTTTAATGTATTTTTAATCTTTGTTGGAAGCTGCCCAGAGTGGCTGGGGAAACCCAGCCAGATGGGCGGGGTACAAATAAATATTATTATTATTATTATTATTATTATTATTATTATTATTACTACTACTACTACTCATTTTTAGCTGCTCCAGAAGGTCCTGAACCAATGGATTCAAATTATAGGAAAGGAGATTCTGACTAATATAAGGAAACCTTTACACATACGGTTCTCAATTTTAAACTATGTGCTGATCTCCGCCAGCAATTTCTAGATCAACTCTGTATCCCCAAATGGAAACCAGATCATACATTTTCTATTACTGGGGAATGATCAGGAGCTCACCAAATTAGTGGCTAAATAGCTCTATTTGAGATGTGACGATAGACTGCTCTGCCTCCTTTCTTTTAGCAAATGTTTTGTGCCGCTGGGGAAGTGGGAATTCTATATTGATATGTTTTGGATGTGATGTCAATAAAAGGTTTGATGATGATAATAAAAGGAGAGACCACTGGATGAGGCCAATGGCCCACCTAGTCCAGCATCCTGTTCTCACAGCAGCCAATCAGATGCCTCTATTGGGAATCCCGCAAACAGGACCCCTCCTGTGGCTTCCAGCAACTGGTATTCAGAAGCATCTCTGCCTCCAGCTGTGGAAGGTAGAACATAGTCATCCTGACTAGGAGCCTAATCGTTAGGCCTAATAATAATAATAATAATAATAATTTATTTATACCCTGCCCATCTGGCTGGGTTTCCCCAGCCACTCTAGGCGGCTTCCAACTGAATATTAAAAACAATATAGCATCAGACATTAAAAGTGTCCTGAAATATACTCAGAGTTGAGAGTGGATTTCATGCTCTTTATTCAGCTCATAGTGGTGAGGAGGAATGGAAGTTCCCCCAGAGTGTCTGCTTTATATACATTATTTACACAGTGGGCTCCATGTGATTGGCTATTTCTGGGATTCTTCTATAGGCCAGTCAGATTCTCTTTCACCTGGAGCTGGATTGGGTGGCTCCTGTGGACCAATCAGACTGCTGCATTCTGGGTCCTATTGTTCTAGGACCAATCAGACTGCTGCATTTTGGATCCTATTCAACTCAGTACATAACACTTCCCTAAACAGGGCTGCCTTCAGTTGTCTTTTAAAAGTAAAATAGTTGTTTATTGCCTTGACATCTGATGGGAGGGCGTTCCACAGGGCGAGTGCCACTACCGAGAAGGCCCTCTGCCTGGTTCCCTGTAGCTTTGCTTCTTGCAGCAAGGGAACCGCCAGAAGGCCCTTGGCGCTGGACCTCCGTGTCTGGGCAGAACAATGGGGGTGGAGATGCTCCTTCAAGTCTACTGGACCAAGTCCGTTTAGGGCTTTAAAGGTCAGCACCAACACTTTGAATGTGCTCGGAAACGTACTGGACATCAGGAAGGACTTTCTGAGGCAAAGTGCTATTGGAGAGTGGAATGGACTCCTTCAGAAGTTGGTGGACTCTCCTTCCTGGGAGGTCCTGAATCAGAAGTTGGATGGTCATCTGCCAGGGATTCCGTGGCTGTGATTCCTGCATTGCAGGGGGTTGGACTAGATGACCCACTGCAGTCCCCTGCCCACTCCTCGATTCTATGACTCTGTAACCCAGTGGAGATTCACACGGAGCACCACTAGTTGCAGACCTCACTGGCTCTGGATTGCTGCCAGCCTGTTTGCTCCTGTGTTTGTTTTGGCAAGGATCCTGGGCATTTTAGCTGATTGCTTTGCGCAGAGCATCCGTCTTAGCTAATCCTGTCGGTCCCCCAAATAGCCAAGCGACACTTTAGAAAATAAGCATGGAAGGCAAAAGCTGGTGTTTGCGTTTGCCGGTGTCTTGTTGTTCCTCAGGACGCTTCCTCCCAGGATTTGCCGGTGCACCTTCTTCCAATGATGACGTCTCAGGAGAGGCCAGGTGGAGTGATCTGTAAGTTCTTCCATGCCATTGAGTAGGGAATAGAGCGTTCCTTTTCTGCATCGAAAATCAGGATTTTCCCAGCAGGTGTGAACCGGCCCAAGGTCAAACCTGTGCTCCGTCTGGTTCAAATGCTTTGAATCTCAGGGGCAACCCAGGAATCTCCAAGGCCAACCTTGAGATGTTGGGGCTTGGACCTGGGACCGGTGGGATCGGTAGGGCGAAAGACAGGGAGGCCAACAGTAGGGGGCACCAGAGCTGGCAATAGGCAGAGCAAAAAAATAATGATCTCATTCTGTCCCCATCCTCCTCCTGCATGCCAAGTTCTTCAAGGGCAAGGCTGAGAGGAGGAGGAGGAAGCTGAGAGCCTGGTCCACTCCTGGACCAGTTTCAGGAGAGATAAAAGAAAGGACTTCTTCATGCAGTGCATCTGTTATGTACTGAGTTGAATAGGATCCAGAATGCAGCAGTCTGATTGGTCCTAGAACAATAGGATCCAGAATGCAGCAGTCTGATCGGTCCTAGAACAATAGGATCCAGAATGCAGCAGTCTGATTGGTCCTAGAACAATAGGATCCAGAATGCAGCAGTCTGATTGGTCCTAGAACAATAGGATTCAGAATGCAGCAGTCGGATTGGTCAGCAGGAGCCACCCAATCCAACTCCGGGTAGAAGTGAATCCAGTGGTGTAGCGTGGGGGGTGCAGGGGGGGCCGGCTGCACCAGGTGCAACATCTGGGGGGGCGCACTCGCACTCACAGCTCTCTGCCCCTACTAAAATCCACGGGTTAGGGGGCGCAAATTACTTGCCTTGCCCCGGGTGCTGACAACCCACGCTATGCCACTGAGTGAATCCGCAACCTGATTGGCCTACAGGAGAATCCCAGAATTAGCCAATCATGTGGGGCTCATTGTGTAAATAATGTATATATAGCAGACATTTCGGGGGAACTTCCATTCCTCACTACTCTGAGCTGAATAAAGAGCATGAAATCCACTCTCGACTCTGAGTATATTTCAGCATCGTTAAACTGCGGAACTCCCACCAGCAGGAGGCAGTGTGGGCCACCAACCTAGATGGCTTTGACAGAGGATGAGGCAAATTCATGGAGGTGAAGACTTCTCAGGATGGCTCTGCTCTGCCTGAATCCCGGTTGCTGGAAACCACAGGAGGGGGAAGTGTTGCTCTTGTGCTCAGATCCTGCTTCTGTGTTTCCCAGGGATGTCTGGTTGGCCACTGTGAGAACAGGATGCTGGACTAGAGAGGCCACTGGCCAGATCCAGCATCTCTTTGGTAAGGAGATAGCCTCAGGGCTGGCTGGTGGCAGGCAGGTTGGCAGAGCATCTTCCTTCCTGGACCAGCCTCCTCTGCCTGGGACCTTCTCCACACAGAGCAGGTGTGCTAGAGTCACTGATCCTTTCCCCCTGTTTTTTTTTTCAT